AGGAGGAGGAGGAGGAGGAGGAGGAGGAGGAGGAGGAGGAGGCCGCCGAGGTCGCCGCCGCCGCCGCCGTGGGGGCCTGGCATACATCAAGGGGCCCAGGGACACACAAATATTGTTTTACGTCGGCGGCGAGGCAGGAGTCGTCTGCGCCAGCGGACTGGCCAAAAAACGGGGACACCGTTGAAGCGAACTGTGCCACCATGCAGGAGGGAGGGGAAAAGCGGAGGGCGCGGCAAAAAGAGGGGGCGGAGAGGGCGAGCCGCTCAGGGGGACGGGTCACGCCCCGAGCGAGTGGCGCGGCCAGAACTGCCGGCCACTAATAAATACACACAAATCCCAAGATTGCCTATATTTTCTCATAGTTTCTCGATGTCATCTCCCCCCCCACTTCCCATACTTTCCCATGTTGGACCCTCCCCAGGATGCACAAGAACGTCCAGCAAACACGACGAGCATCAGGGCACCATCCCTGGACCGACCTGGATCTTGCACCTCAGGCCCACCGGGAGGGGGAGGGGGAGGGGGAGGGGAAGGGCGAGGGGGAGGGGGCGAGGGGAAGGGGGAGGGGAAGGTGGAGGGGGAAGGAAGTGGAGGAGGAGGAGGAGGAGGAGGAGGAGGAGGAGGAGGAGGAGCAGGAGGAGGAGGAGGAGCAGGAGGAGAGGAGGAGGAGGAGGAGGAGGAGGAGGAGGAGGAGGAGGCCGCCGAGGTCGCCGCCGCCGCCGCCGTGGGGGCCTGGCATACATCAAGGGGCCCAGGGACACACAAATATTGTTTTACGTCGGCGGCGAGGCAGGAGTCGTCTGCGCCAGCGGAATGGCCAAAAAACGGGGACACCGTTGAAGCGAACTGTGCCACCATGCAGGAGGGAGGGGAAAAGCGGAGGGCGCGGCAAAAAGAGGGGGCGGAGAGGGCGAGCCGCTCAGGGGGACGGGTCACGCCCCGAGCGAGTGGCGCGGCCAGAACTGCCGGCCACTAATAAATACACACAAATCCCAAGATTGCCTATATTTTCTCATAGTTTCTCGATGTCATCTCCCCCCCCACTTCCCATACTTTCCCATGTTGGACCCTCCCCAGGATGCACAAGAACGTCCAGCAAACACGACGAGCATCAGGGCACCATCCCTGGACCGACCTGGATCTTGCACCTCAGGCCCACCGGGAGGGGGAGGGGGAGGGGGAGGGGAAGGGCGAGGGGGAGGGGGCGAGGGGAAGGGGGAGGGGAAGGTGGAGGGGGAAGGAAGTGGAGGAGGAGGAGGAGGAGGAGGAGGAGGAGAGGGAGGGGAGGAGGAGGAGGAGGAGGCGGAGGAGGAGGAGGAGGAAGGAGGAGGAGGAGGAGAGGAGGAGGAGCAGGAGGAGGAGGAGGAGGAACTCCTCGTCCTGGCCACGGCGAGCCCCAGCCTCGAGAAAAGCTCCCCGCCCTGGCTCCGAGGCACGGCCAGGCCGCCGGAGGCCCCGTAGGAGCCCAAAGCGGTCCCTATAGGGCAGTTCCCTATAGGGCAGTTCTTCCCTATAGGGCGGTCCCTATAGGGCAGTTCTTGAATACATGAGTAATGTATGATTAAATATATGCATGAACTCATCGTTGTGTTTAATACTAAATCCATTTATTTTAATACATGAGCCGCACGCGGAGCATGTACTAAAAACGGCACTGTATAGTGAGCGTTGTTTTTTGAGGGGGAAGGTGGGGGGAGGGCGTACGCGCCCAGCTATGTACATGAACACGGCCCCTCGATCTGCGAGACTGGCCGCGTTGTACGAATAGCTGCGCAACGCATACTCTCGAAACCAGCGTGGATTCATGCACGTGTACGTCCTTCGTTCGCTCCTGATTCAGGGGGGGGGCTGGCTCCGGACCTCTGTTTAGTGCGACTGTTTGCGGCACTGGGTCCTGCGAGGGGAGCCTCCACCTGCTCGACACAGGCGCTCGAAACGGCAAAGATCTACTCCAGGGGGGAGGAGGGGGAGGGGGCCCGCGCCGATCGGCAAAACAATGAATAAAGAACTATCACCTACGTCAGCGTCTTGGCTGTGGAGGGGGAAACAACGACCTGGCATCGGCTGCACACCGCCTACGGTAGTTGCTGACGCACCAAAGGTCAGAGACTTGCTGCGGGTCGGCCTCCCTAGGCGGACCCGTCAAGCCCAAACCTCCTCCTCCTCCTCCTCCTCCTCCTCCTCCTCCTCCTCCTCCTGCTCCTCCTCCTGCTACTCCTCCCCCTCCATAAGAATCGTTCTCAATCCATCGGCGATGGGCCCCCGGCAGCAAACACGCACGCTCGTGGGCGGGGGTGGGACTGTCGGGCCCCTACCAGCGATCCGTGGGCGATTGGGGGTCGATGCATCACCCCCCCATGCCTATCGCCCCCTATCGTTGCCCCTGAACCTCGTTCAGCTGGGTAGTCGAAGCCAATCTGGCGCCAATCTGGCAGGCCCAGTCTGGCAAACGGGGGCAATCTGGCGAGGGAGCCAACGCGAATCCAGTCTGGCGAATAACCCAAATCCTCCAAGTTGGCCAGGCCAGATTGGCCCTTAAGACCTAGTCCAGTCTGCCAGTCTGGCCTTCGACTACCCAGTTCAGGATAATCGGGGGGAGGCCAGCCAAGGTAGGGAACGGGCAGAGGTGGGGTTGCAGGAACCTCGCTCTGGACGGCCCGTGCTTGGAGGGCATGCGCACCTGGCTGGGCTCGCTTCACCCCCCCTATACGAGCGCCCGACTCCCCCGCAAGTCGGGGACCTTCTGACCCGGGTCAATGCAGACCTGGGTCAGTCAGGCCTTGCACGATCCTGCAAAATCCTGCAAGATCCTGTATCCAAACCCGGGCCACTGCGAAGGATCCTGCAAGACCCTGCAGGATCCTGCACCCGAGCCCAGGTCGGTGCGACCCTGGCCCCAGAGGATCCTGCGAGGTCGGGCGCTCTGGCTGACCCCCGTTTTGACTCGGAAGCGGCCAAAAGGGGGGTGTCCAAGAGGGGCGCGCAAATTGTGGCCGGCGGCATGTGCGCGGCCCAAGGGGGGGGGGGGGGGGCCAGGGACGGAAAGGAATGAGAAGCGGCGCCCGGAACTCTGGGGAGACCTCATGGCCCCCGCCACGATGTCCGCCCACCCCCAGTCGTCATCCCTTCTCTCTGCCGCCCCCGTTTTCACTGACCCCCGTCCCTTGAGCCCCCGAGCCGACGGCAGGGCGGCGGGTCCGGCGCCGCACCTCGTTCTGGATGAAGCAGGCGAGCCGCGTGCCGTCCGGCACCACCTCGGCACCCCCGCGGGGCGACGCGGTCAGCGGGCGGCCCGCGCCGCAGCCCCGGGGGGGCCGCCGCATCGCCCCCCGCCTCTGGCGGCTCTCCCGCCTGGTCTGGCAGCGGCCCAGCGCAAAATCCAGGCTCACTCCTGTCCTGCCCCCTCCTGCTCCTCCTCCTCCTCCTCCTCCTCCTCCTCCTCCCTCCTCCTCTCTCCTCCTCCTCCTCCTCCTCCTCCTCCTCCTCCTCCTCTCCTCTCTCCTCCTCCTCATCTCCTCCTCCTCCTCCTCCTCCTCCTCATCCTCCTCCTCCTCCTCCACTTTCTTCGGCGCCTCCGGTGCAACTGGCAGCTCCGAGACGTCCGGCATCTCCGGGACAGCCCCCTCCTCCTCGTCCTCGTCCTCGTCCTCATCGGTTCTGGCTCATGTATCCTGTGTGAGTCCTGAGCTTGCAAGCACGTGCTTCGGAGCGGCTCGTGCTTGTGGGCCTACTTTGCTTCAGAGAAAAGCAGGCCTGCTGTTGCAGCTGCTGCCTGCTGCAGCAGGCTGCTGCAGATGCGCCCACCGCGAGAAGTCTTGCCAGGGCAGCACCTCCCGCACTAGAGCTGCAACTGAGGCTGCGACTGCAGCTGGGCGCCGCGTGTGGTTCTGGCGGCCTTCCCAGAAGGCTCGGAGGACCCCACGCCTTCTGAGAAGTCTTCCGAAGGCACCAAAAACCTCTCAGGAGGCCGGCCTTCTGAGAAGCCTCACCGCCTCCTGAGAAGGCCCGCCCCTTCTCGCGTCCTCCCCTCGCTTGCTGCCCAAGGGATGCCGTCGCGGTCCGACCACGGCCTCAGGCGCCAGCCGACCAGGCCGAGCGTGCTCCGCCTGCTGCTGCTGCCGCTCCTGCTGCTGAAGGGGCTGGCTCGGCTGGCCCTGTCGACCACGGCGTCAGCGTCCCTGCCGAAGGCGACGACGTCGCCCCGTCGGCCTCTTGCGTCTGGTGCTCCAGTTGTGGTCGCGCATCTGCCAGCCGCACTGCCAGGCATGGGGGCGCGGCCATGCCAAGATTTGTACTTGGGTCCAGGGCCCCGCAACACGTGTGAAAGGGGTGGTTGGGTTCACAACCCTCGTGGGGGGTTTTGCAAGGAGGTCGGTTGCCATTCCTGGACCTCAGACGTTTCTATAAGCATATGCGTCACCTAGATATTCGGCTCCAGTACGGGTTCCCCATCAAGGTCATCAGTGGTTAAACAGTCACTGTACTATCTACAGGGGGCACAAGGCCCTGGTGCATGGATGAGCGGAATAAGACTCGATTATGGCGAGAGCAGCTGTGGTGGCGGGGCGTCCAAGGGCCACCACTCTAGCGAAATTGCTCCTGTTGAGGCCATAGCTCATGACGCAGCGAGGTATGCCGAATATGTTTATCCGCAATGTCGTGGACGATTTGGCTCTCCAGGCTTGCGGGCGCCCGCTGCAAGTTGCGACGACGGAGCCTGAGGCGGCCGGACAGCTACCCACCTGCTTCAAGGAGCTCGGACTGCCCGCCAATCTCGAGAGAACAAACACACATGTACACTCGTGAGGTTGAACAGCACGTTGCTACGATGTGCCTGCCTAGAACGTCCAGGTGGAGCACGCTCGCAATAGGGGGACTGATGCCACCCAGGGAAGAGCCCAGAGGATCGGAGTGAGCAGGGCCGCCAGGCTCACTGAAGCGGGATCTGGGTCTAAGCTACGTCGGCTCCTCAGGGAAGCTGGAGCGGACGCGGCCCTTGCACAGAGACTGGGGGCCACTGCTGCAGCGCTCTGGGGGAGTAGTGTCTCGGGGATTCCTCGCACGTCCCTCCGCGGGCTCAGGTTGTCGGCGGCCCGTAGCAGTGGCCCTCACCCGAAAGGGGCCTCCTTAGGAACTCGGTTGCATTCCTTCGTTCGGGGAAGATCGTGGATCCCCTGGTGACCAGCCACTGCGGGCTGGGATGGTATCCCCAAGGTTTCGAGTTTGACCGGTTCGATCGGCGCGGCCATCCTTCGCGCGAATCAGAAGACGTACCCATGACAGAGAGCTGCCACGGCTGCCGACGTGGCGGTGCTCACTCTGCAGCGCATCGACTGGCAGCTTCGTGACTTCAAGACGGCGGAGACAGATCAAGGCCACGTCTGGAACTTTGTCTAAGATCGCGCCCCAAAAGCTTCGCTTACAAATGAGGGCTGGTGCAATCAGAGCGTCAGACCGCCAATAGCGAGGCCAGCAAGGGGAATTGCTTAGAGTGCCTTCGTGTTGGGGATGCCATCAAACCTCCCCTCCGCTCCTCTTCCTCCTCTTGGGGTCCCAAGCATCCGAGGGCCCTGAGGAGCCTCATAAGCAAAAGCACGGGCCGCAGCTAGGGTGCACAAGCACGGGTTGCGTCAGCGTAGCGATTGTAGGCTGTGCCAATGTGAAAGGGGCACACTCTGGCGCAGGCAGTGTCGGTGCGCAGATACAGCCTCCACAAGCTGTGCGCCCTTCGCGCATTGTAATTGGCACAGCATCTGCACCCCCGCCCTCGAAGAGTCGGGCTGAACACGAAACCGGCACCGCATGATGAGTCCCCAACGATTGCGGCGTAGCACTGGTCCGCGCTGTTTTGCAGCCTAAATTTAGGTCGGGGGTGTCCCCCTACAGCGGGATGTTGAACAAAACATTGAAATACCCCCCAAAACATACCCTAAAACATTCAAACAATACTCACAAAATAGTCCCCTAACTATTGTTTGACTATTTTTGAATTTTCCTCCTGTGGAGGGACAGGCCCGACTTAAGCCAAAATTGACGGCATGCCAAGCGCACTCATGGCTGCACCCACATGGTCGTGGCCCGCGCCGGGAGCACAGCATCTGGACCCCCAACCCCAGGACGGGAAAATGGGCTGCATGACATCAGAGCCGCACGAGGGCTTGTCAAATCCGCGGGGCCCTTGGGAGCGCAAGGCTGTGGGGTCTTCGGCTGGACTGCTGGCTTGAATTCTTTCTGCTGTCTTTTGTTTCTTATCTGTTGTCTCTCAGATCCTGGCTACGTCTATCCTCCACTGCACGACAACAAAAACCACACCTGGGAGGTCCCCGAAGTTCACGGCCGCTCTATCTTATCCAGGGGGGGGGGGGGCTTTGGACGCGAGGGGGGGGGAGGGCCTGTGGACACGAGGGGAGGGAGCTTTGGACGCCAAGGTCGTCGTCGAACCATGGGAACGGCAGTCCGCCGCCTTCAACACAAGGGGGGGAGGAGGGGGGGAGGGGGTGGGTTCCTCTGGACGGGAAGGGACGGGGGGGGGGCGGTGTGCGTGTGCTTTGAGACGCAGAGGGTGCGCCGTTGGTCAGGAGGGGAAAAAACACACAGACACAATTAATTGTCGATCCCCTGGAAAATATGGGAAAATATGGGAAGCGGTGGGGAAGACAAAAACCCAGAAAATATACGAAAATATGGGGGATATGTATATTTGTGTGTATTTATTTGTGTGTCCCAGGGCCCCTTCAGTTGGACGCGAAGGTGAGGGGGGGGAGGGGGCCTGTGGACGCGAAGGGGCGGCCTCTGGACGCGAAAGGGAGGGGACGGGGGGTGCGCCCTGGGGCGCGAGAGGGCGGCATGGGCCCCCGCCACTGCAGCCCCGAGGAAGCTGACCCTCTCGCCCGCCTGAGTCGGGGATGGACAGACCTCCCTTTAGTTTTAGTGAAATCGACCTGAGGCCCAAACCTGGCGGGCGCAAGCCTTGAAAATAACGGCCGCGGCGCCCTCTCGAGAACCGAAAACGGACAATTCACTAATCGACGTGTCACTGTTGGGGGTTCTGTCCGCCCCCGCCTGAGGCCAGGAGGAGGGGGCGCGCATCGGCGAGGCGCTGCTCTGCCAGGAGCGCTCGGGGGATCCCCGAAACGGTGCGGTGACGGACCGCACGGGGACCTCGAAAGCCCCCCGAGGCCTCACCGCACGGTCCGTCAACGCACGGCTCTGGGACCTCGGATGCCCCGGCCGCCCGAGACGCCCTCGGAGAGAACGACCCGAGTCCCAAAACCGCGCGGTGCCCCCGAATCCCCACCGACTCACCGCACGGCGTGGTCACCACCCCGTTGGGGGGCCCCCGAAAGAGCCCTGGCCCAAGGTGCCCCCGGGATTTCCCAGGAGCCTCCCGCGGCCTCCAGAGAGTGCCCCATCACGAGGCCCCGAGGGTGAGACGAAGCCAGGACGATGATGAGTTCGCGCGAGGGTAGATAGAGGGCAGAACATCCACCCCGATAATAACCACCCCGACACGCGAAGCCGTTCAGTAGACGCACCCACAGGAATCAAACAGGGCAGGGCTTTTTAGTAAACTGCCAGGGCCGTAAAGTAAGCGCCCATTGTCCGGTCCAGGTGGTTTTTCCTCCCTTGAGTAAATCGAAAATATCTGAGATCTGGCGGCTCTGGAAGATGGTTCGGGCGCCGTGGCCTTCTCAGAGCGTTCATGAACGCTCTGGAAACGCCTCGGGGCGCTCTGGAATAGATTTGTCCTCGTCCCAGCCCCGCCCGGAGCGGGCCCCAGGGGCTCCCAAATGGCACGACAAGCGGAGAACACTCTCTGCGCCAGGGGCACGCGTGGCAACCCTCAGGTCGGGCGTGTCCCCCTACAGGCGGATCCTGGGACGACAAGGAAAAAATGTCTCAACTGATTCACAAGCAGCCATATATATATGTAAATATATGTATATATACATACATACATACATACATACATACATACATACATACATACATACAAAAAACCCGAACAAAAAAAAAAAAAAAAGAACGCCCCCCCCCCCCCCCCGACGATGTTTTGGCTGCTATGTTTTTGCATACTCCTCCTGCGGAGGGGCAGGCCCGACTGGACCCCCCGGATAGCCGCGGCCCGAGGCGCGCGCACGGGCGGGGCTCGCCGGGGGCCGGGGCCCGGAGGCGGGGCGCACCGAGAGGAGCAGGGGGGAGGGGCAGGGGGGGGGGCACGGGCACAAACCTCGCCGTCGCTCGGACGTCCACTCACCGCGAACGGATCAAGCGAACACGACACAGCGAATCGTAGGGAACCGCGAGCCACGCGTTCCCACGCTACCGAATCGTTACCTATATCGCCGTTCGCCCGTCTACAGCAATTGAGCACAAACAGCTCGTCCGATCGAACAGGCCCGGGAGGCCAAAATCGAGGAAACGCGTCCCGACGGAGCACACAAACCTCGCCGTCGCTCGGACGTCCACTCTCTGCGCATGCTTGGATGTCGCGCGTGCTCTTGTTGGCCCGATGGTCGAAGGGTCCTCCCATTAGGAGGAGCATGCACACGTCCGAGCGCTGCCAAGAGGCAGCTCGTCCGAGAACTGGGGACTGTGGCTGGGTCGAGCATGTCCTCCTACAGGCAAAGTCTGGACGAACTATAAAAAATAGTCAAAAAATACCCCAACTATCATCTAAGATAGTTATATGAAGAAAAAACCGTCCCACGACTATTGTTGTACCATGTCGGGATGTTCCTCCTGTGGAAGCACACGCCCGATTTACGACTACGGTGAGTATCCTTTGACCGACCCCCATCCCCAGCGGCGTGGCCTGGGCCCCCCTGGCCGATGTTCCCCCCTAGGTGGGGATGTAGGCCGTTCCCCTCGGGTTTCGAGGGGCGTATCCCCCAGCTGGGGTGGTGCTTCGGTGGGGGTCTCGAAAGGGGGATGGAGATGGGGATGGAGATCGGTGAAGGGGTGTCCTCCTCCTTCTCTTCCTCCTCCTCCTTCTTCCTCCTCCTCCTTTCCTCCTCCTCTTCCTCCTCCTCCTTTCCTCCTCCTCCTTTCCTCCTCCTTCTCTTCCTGGGGTCTCGAAGGGGGATGGAGATGTGGGGATGGGGATCGGCGAGCCGGTACCGAGGCAGGGCCGCCCGATGTGCGCAGCGCGCAGCCCGCAGCGTGCGGTTACACGGAGCTCGACACTCCAAGAGCGAAGTCGGGCATGTCCCTCTAACGAAGGATTGCAAAAAAACTGCTCTTGAACGAAGGATTGCAAAAAAAAAAACCTCTCCAGGACGAAGGATTGCAAAAAAAAACTCTCCAGGACGAAGGATTGCAGAAAAAACCTCTCCAGGAGCAGTGTTCAACACTAGGCAAAAAGAAGTATGGGGGCGCTGATTTGTTCATACGTGTCGAGTATTTGTGAGTTGTCTTCCAAAATCCGCCAGTAGGGGGGACGTGCGCGACGCAGTCCCAGAGAGCCAGCGCTCCCCAAAAAATCGGAGCTGGCGGCGTGCGGCCGCTTGCGGCCTCTTAGGGGGGTCCCTCGCTGGGCCCAAGGGGCCGTCGACAGCGGGGCTTGCTCTGACCCGGGTCGATCCAGACCCGCGGGTCAATCAGGCCCTGCAGAATCCTGCAAGATCCTGCAGGATCCTGCGCCCAAACCCAGGTCGATGCGAAGGATCCTGCAAGATCCTGCAAGATCCTGCGCCCAAGCCCAGGTCGAGGCGAAGGATCCTGCAAGATCCTGCAGGATCCTGCGCCCAAGCCCAGGTCAAGGCGAAGGATCCTGCAAGAGCCTGCAGGATGCTGCACCCGAACCCCGGGTCAGTGCGACCCTGGCCCTGCGAGATCCTACAGGATCTGGCGCTCTGGCTGGCCCCCGTTTGCATTGACAGCCAGTCTCTTGAGCCCCGACAGAAATCGACTCGGGGCGAAAAACTGGCCCTGGGGAAGTGGTCCAGGCCTCGGGGGCCCACGCATTGAAACTGGAGCAGCCGGATGTCTGGGCTTGGCGCCGCGCACAAGGGGGTATGGGGGGGGAGGCTTCTTAGAAGGAGGCCACTTCTTAGAAAGCGCCAGCCCGACATCTATAGATCAACCCAGCGCCTTCTAAGAAGGGCGGGTGCGTGCTTCTAACAAGCCTTCCCCCTCCCCCTAACCCCCTCTGCGCGTGGCCGAAACACGATGTTGAGAACGTACGTTTGGCGCGTAGCGTTCGCCGAAACGTGGGCCAACACGTTGAACCAACACGCAGCGTCTACACACGGACGCTTTGAAAATGGCACGTGTTGCGTCTCAACACGGGCGTATCAGCACAGCTAAGGGGGGGCATGAGATCCGGGAGGGCCCCAGCCAGGAAGTCACCCCCCACCGCACAGCAGCCAAGAGTCCTGAGACCTCGCACTCCCCCTCTTCGAGGCCCCTGGAGACGAAACAAACACGCGCCGATGTGACTTGTGTTTGATGCGCGGGGGCCAGCTGTTAGAGGCCTCCTAGATGGGATCCGAGTGGAAGGGTTCGAAGGATCGAGCCGCATAGCCAATGCATCGGTGGCGTAGGCGACGCATTTGCGATGCCAGCGTGGTGTGGAGAAAATCGGGTCACACATCGAGCCGCATCGGCGATGCGGCGCGATCCTCCGACCCAACTGCTCCCACCCCATCTAGGAGGCCTCGGATTCTAGGCCGCGGAATCATTTGGTATCGGCCCGGGGCCCGATAAAACAAGCTCTGGAAGCCAAAATCGAGGAAACGTGTCCGGATTGCGCAAAAAAATAGTCCGAGAACTGGGCCATTGCCGGGCTAACGGCGATGTTGCTCAATGGTGATGCTCAACACACGCTCCTAGATTTCCAATATGCGAACGGATCAAGCGAACACGACACAGCAAATCGTAGGAAAGCGCGAGCCACGCGTTCCCACGCTACCGAATCGTTACCTACATCGCCGTTCGCCCGTCTACAGCAATTGAGCACAAACAGCTCGTCCGATCGAACAGGCCCGGGAGGCCAAAATCGAGAAAACGCGTCCCGACTGAGCACACAAACCTCGCCGTCGCTCGGACGTCCACTCCCTGCGCATGCGTCGGTGTCGCGCGTGCTCTTGTTGGCCCGATGGTCGAGGATGCTCCCATAGGAGGCTCTCGCCGAGAAAAAACATGCACACGTCCGAGCGATGCCAAGAAGCAGCTCGTCCGAGAACTGGGAACTACGGTTGGGTCGAGCATGTCCTCCTACAGGCGGATTGTGGACGAACCATGAATTTAGTCAAAAACTACCCCAACAATTTGTGCTATGTTGGAATGTTCCTCCTGTAGAAGGACACGCCCGACTTAAGACTACGGGGCGGCGCGGCGGAAGGGCGGCGCGGCGAGAGGTCGGGGGCGGCCAAGAGGGGCGCGTCCAAGAGGGGGGGGGTGCAAATCGTGACCAGCAGCACGTGCGCGGCCCAGCCAGGGGGGGGGGGCGACGTGATGAAATAAGAAGAGGCGCCACGAAATCTGAGGAAATACCGTGGCCCACGCCATGATAATCCACCCCCCCTGGTCTCGGGCGTTGGCAGAACTAAGCTCAGTGGGACCTGGTACAGGAATGTGTACTGGGGGACGCCCCCCCCGCCCCGTTCCACGAACCGGGACCGCCGCAACCCGAAAAAACACCACCTGTACGGCAAACCTGGTTTCAGGGATTCTGGCCCATTCCGGAGCTCCGGGGCCCTACCACTGACCGGGTCCCCTCACCTGGGGTCCTGTGAAGGGGCCCCAGGACACACAGATAAATGCACACAGATAAAAAGACTCCCTGTACAGTTCCCATATTTCTGGGGTTTTTGTCCTCCCCCCCACCTCCCATATTTCTGCATATCTTCCGGGGAGTCGACGATGCATTGTGTCCGTGTGTTTCTGTCCCTCCTGATCCTGGCCCTACCCGATTGAGTGCTCGCCCCCCTCGTCGCCGGCCCCGAAGCGGGGGGGGGGGGGCGCCGACCAGCAGGTGGCACAGCGGCAGGCCGGGCAGCCCCACGCTGGTGCGGGAGCGGGTCTGCGGGGCAGGGGGCGGGCGCGCGCGCGGCCGCCGCCGCCGCCACCGGGCGCCTCTGCCCCCACCCCCCTCCGACCGAGGCGAGGCTGGGCACGGGCCACAGCCGCGAGAGGGGCGACGACGGGGGGGGGGGCTGGCACAGGGGAAGGGGCCCCAGGACACACAAATAAACACACACACAAATAAAAAGATTCCCCATATTTCCCTAGATGTTCTGGGTTTCTGTCGTCCCGCCCACTTCCCATATTTTCCCATATTTTCTGGGGAATCGAGGATTAATTGTGTCTGTGTGTTTCTTTTCCTCCTGAACAGGGGGGAGAAGGATGGACCCCGAGTCGGCGGTGCATCGCCGACAGATCGGCGGTGGGCCCCCGGTGGTGAATCCGCGTACGCTCTCAGGCAGGCTGGGGCCATGGGGCCCCTGTCGGCGATCCATGGGCGACTGGGGGTGGATGCACCCCCCCCTGTGCCTATCCCCCCTATCGTTGCCCCTGACCTGTGCCGTCGTCTGCTGAGCTGCCGCCGCCTGTGCCCGACCCAGAGCCACGGGCTCGTGGGGATGATGAGGGTGGAGGCGGTGACGGTGTTGGGGCTGACTTCGGGGGGGTGGAGGAGGAGGAGGAGGAGGAGGAGGAGGAGGAGGAGGAGGAGGAGGAGGAGGAGGAGGAGGAGGAAGAGAAGGAGTAGGAGTCAAGCTAGCCAGCTCGAGCGAGTCAAGCATGGCATGCCCAGTCCCACCCGCCCTCCCACAACATAAGAAGCAAAGCTGGCACAACTGGGGGCCGAAGTCACACCGGCCAGCCGGTTTGGTACAGCTGATGCGGCCGCGATGGCGGTTGCCGACGGGAACTGGCGAGCGCGTGTTGAATGCCGCGCACGCATTGCCAGACGAGTCGAGAATGGCCCGGTACACCGCAGGAAGCCAGAGGTGGCCGGAGGAAGCCCGACGGTCTGACAGGACACCCCAAAGCATTTTTGTGAAAAAGCATTGGGTTTTTGATGTTTTTATGTTGAAATGCTTGCAAACACACGGTGTTCGGTAGGATTCTGACATGAACGCGCGAGTGTGCTCTTTGTGGTATTTGTTGCACAGGATTCGCGGCCTGGGTGCATGACAGAGCATCGCGAGTGCACCGCGCGATGACGTGAAATCGCTGGATTTGACAGAATTCTTAAGATTCCTATGGTTTTCCTATGATTTCAGCAAGAGAGCCCGGGCGGGAAATTTGTACAATTTTTGTGAAAAAATTGGGTTTTTGATGTTTTTATGTTGAAATGCTTGCAAACACACGGTGTTCGGTAGGATTATGACATGAACGCGCGCGTGTGCTCTTTGTGGTATTTTTTGCAATGGATTATCGCCGTGGACGACAGGACGTCCATGTCGAGAGGCAAAAATAAGAAAAATGTTGATTTTGTATTATTTTTTCCAGGTTAGGATGGGACCACCCGGATGCGGCCCCTAATGGCCGGCCTGAGGGGGGAGTAGGAGTATATTCCAATAAGGAATAAGGATAGGAGGAGGAGGAGGAGGAGGAGGAGGAGGAGGAGGAGGACGCGGATCCACTCTGACCCCATCTGGGAGGCCTGGAGCTCCACAAGATCGGAGCTGCACACATCGGGAGTCCCGGCGGCTCTGGAGGACGCGTCGCGCGCCGCGGCAGTTCCACGGCGCTCTCTCCCGGCCCTGGGCCTGGCTGGCTCGTGGCCACGGCTGGCTCGGGCCGGCCCCACAGGGAGGGTCTAGGCATTCGACTTTGCACGGGTTTAGGGCGAAGCCCTGCAAGGGTTTCCCGTCCGGGAGCACGGCCGTCATCGCCGGCAGCCGGTCGTCATCATGCCGTCCCAGCGAGACTCTCCGCCCTTCTCCCTCCCTCCGTCCAGCTCTCTCCTGCTCCAATCTTTCCCCCTCCCCGCCCCCAACCCCACCACTCTCTCCAACCCTCCGCTCCACCGACCTAACATGCTTCCCCCCCCCTCGCATCAATCCTTCCCGCCCGCGACGACGACGACGTCAATGACAACGACGGCGGCAGCGACAACGACGACGACGACGATGGCGACGACAACGGCGGCGGCGAAGGCAGTGACGAGCGGAGGAAGCGAATGCTGCGCCCGCGACGATGACAGCCGACGGCAACGACAGACGGCGGCAACAATCATGCGCGACGCCGACGAGGATCACAACTGCGAGACCGGCGACGGGACGGCAACGGCGCAGCGACGGCCCCGCCGCGGCCTGCAGCGTCGACGAGGACATGCAGCTCTCGTCCTCGCCGGCACCCCGAGGCGAGGCCCCACGGCCCAGCGGTCCGACGGCTCGCGGGGGCCGCGCCGACCGGCGTCGCGGAACTGTCGCGCCGCGGCGGAGGTCGAGTCGGAGCGTTGAGGGCCTGTGGATGAGTTCGAAGGGTCGCGGAGGGCTTCGGGGGCGGCCGCGGACCGTCGACCCGACCCCCAGAGGGACGAACAGGGGAACGACCACGACGAGGACGACGACGACGACGTCGACGACGACGGCGACGCCGACGACCACGACGGCGACGACGACGACGAGCGAAAGCGAGAGCGAGAGAGAACGACAGCAGGGCCACGAAGGACACGAAGTAGGCCACGAAGGGCGACAGCGGGGACACGAAGAGAATGCGTATGGAGCCACGAAGAGCGCGAACGAGCGGGGGCCACGAAAGGCAAATAATGCGGGGCCACAGAAAGCAACGATGGGGCCACTCAAGGTAGCAAGTGGGCCACGTAGGACAGTGAGGGGGCCTCACACGGCGACAACGGGGCCACGAAGGGCATGCACATGGGGCCAAAACCGGCCCGAACGAGCGGGGGCCACGAAAAGCATACGTATATTGGGCCACGGAAGGCAAGAACGGGGCCAATGAGGGCAACAACGGGGCCTCGAAGGGCAGCGAGGGGGCCACGAAGGGGGACAGCGGGGCCACGAAGGGCATGAATATGGGGCAACCACGGGCGCGAACGAGCGGGGTCACAAAGGGCATACATATATGGGGCCACGAAAGACAGCGAGAGGGCCTCGAAGGGCTGCAACGGGGCCACGAAGGGCAGCGAGGGGGCCACGAAGGGCTGCAATGGTTCCGCGAAGGGCTGCAACGGGGCCACGAAGGGCAGCGAGGGGGCCACGAAACAAAGCGAGGGGGACACGAAGGGCTACAACGGGGCCACGGAGAGCAGCGAGGAGGCCACGAGGGGCTGCAACGGGGCCACGAAGGGCAGCGAAGGGGCCACAGAAGGGCTGCAACGGGGCCACGAAAGAAAACGAGGGGGGCACGAAGGGCTGCAACGGGGCCACGAAGGGCAGCGAGATCCAGTTTCCTAGGTAATCAATGAGGAAATCCTAAGCGTGAGCGCGACTCCTGGGTGCCTGGGTGTCGGGAGCGCGGCGCTTGAGCAAATTGCATGAAAGTCCAACGGAAGGGCGCTATTCTATAGTAAATTGCAAGCAAGTCTCCAGCGAGAGCGCGACTCCAGAGCGCCGGGAGAGCGATTCCTGAAAAATTGTCAGGAAGTCCCCAGCGAGAGCGCGATTCCTGAATAAAATGCGAGGAGGTCTCAGGCGGAAGCGGGGGCCCTGGCTAAATTGTGAGGAAGTCGTAGGCGGGAGCCGTTGCTGTAAACCTGGGGCCAACGACACAGTTTGACCCGCAAGACTTTCCCTGATATGAAGCAGGGCGCGAGCCACGGGAAGGGCACTTCAATCGAAAAAAACAATGTGCACAGGACGGGGGGATCAACGATAAATATTCTTCAGAAATGAAAGTTCAACAACAACAGCAAGAGCCACCACAACGTTAACAACAACGACGACGACGACGACGGCGGCGACGACGACGACAAGGACGACGACGAGGACGACGAGGACGAGGACGACGACGACGACGACGACGACGACGACGACGACGACGACGACGACGACGACGACGACGACGACGACGGCGGCGGCGGCGGCGGCGGCGGCGGCGGAGGCGACGATGACGGCGGCAACGGCGGCCCCACCACGGGGCGCGGGCCCACGGCGGGGCGGCCGCCGTCCTCGGTGAAGGCGTCCTTGTCCTTTGCAGGGGGGGGCGGGCCCGCCGCGGCGGGGGGGGGGGGGCTCGAGGGCGGCGTGCGGCGTGGGGGCGGCGGGTACCCCGAGCGCCGAGCAGCGGCGGGGGCGGCGAGCCCGGCGTGGGGGCCCGCCCGGCGTGGGGGCCCAGCGGGGGCCCAGCGGGGGCGCCGCTGCCTCGCCCCCCCCGCCCCCGCCCGCGTCGTCGGGATCGGGGTCACGCCGCGCCTCCCGCGAGACGCAGCGGTGCAGTGCACCCCTCCCCCTCCCAGAGACGTAGGATGCTGTTGTCGGGGGGCCTCGCCCCTTCCTCACTCTCCCCTGCTGCGGTCGGGGAGACGCCCGGGCCCATGCCGCGACCTCAGCGCGCCCCTGGGCATCCGCATCTGTCCCCCCCCGTCCGTCAGCGGGGACCTTTCCTGCTCCTGCGGTCGCGGTTCAGTGGTGTTTGCCGACTGGTTGTGGGGAACAATGAGCTTGTTTGTCCTGGTCGTGTTTCCCTGGCCAACTACATATCGTGTGAACCTCTGGACTAGAGAACCCTTACTGAAAAATCCTCACTCGAGATCCCTTTACAGAAGGCATGATCATCAGGGAACCCTTGTGTCCTTTTGTGAAGGGCGCAGTAGCAAAGAGTCCTTACTAAAGGAATGCGTGCGAATATGGTGTTCGCTGGAAGCGTCCCCGCTAAAGATACCATACTCAAAGCATCAGCATCCCGAATCCAATACTAGAATGCATCGTTGATCAGGAACCCTTATTCCAGAAAACATGTGAATCCGCACTACAACGACCCTCACTGAGGAGGGAGCGCGTTTCACGGGCGCTTGCCTTGGACACGTGCGGCGGCGCGTTTGAACCGAGCCCCCCCCCGAGCATTCGGCGCCGCCGTCAAACAGAACCAGGGGGACTCCCTTGCCCTCCCCCCTCCCGAACCACCACCCCCCCTTCAGTAGGGGTGTTGGTTCGAGAACGCCCCCCTGGCGCGAGAAGGGGAAGGGTGGAACAAACCTTCCCCACCAGCGCAGGCGCCAGCCGCCAGCGCTGACGGCGGCGACGCGGCGACGATGTTTAGTGTAGTCCTCTGAACTCGGCACTGAGTGTCAGACCTTGAATATAAAGATTCTTCCCGTTGCGTCGCGTGCCTCCCGCGCTTTCCGTCGTCGTCGCCGTCGTCGTCGCCGCCGTCGTCGTCGTCACCGTCGGCGTCGACGTCGATGTCGTCGTCGTCGCCGTCGTCGACATGCCAGTCGTTGTCGGCGTCGCTGTCACCGTCGACGTCGCCGCGGTTTCCGTCTTCGTGCTCGTCGTGGTCGTCGTGGTCGTCGTCGTCGCCGTCGTCGCAGTCGTCTTCGTCGTCGTCCTTGTCGTCGTCGTCGACGTCGCCGTTGTCGTCGTCGTCGTCGCCGTCGTCGTCGCCCTGCTTGTCGTCGGCGTCGTCGCCGCCCCGTCGTCGTCGTCGCCGCAGACGTCGTCACCTTCGTCGTCGTCGTCGTGCTCGTCGTCGTCGTCGCCGCCGTCGTCGTTATCATCGTCGTAGCCGTGGTATTGAAGTCGTCGACATCATCGTCATCGTCGCCGTCGTCATCCTCGTGCTTGTCATCGTCGTCGCCACCGTCGTCAACGTATTCGTCGTCGTCGTGGTCGCCGTCGTCGTCGTCGTCATCGCCGTCGTCGCCGTCATCGTCATCGTCATGCTCGTCGTCGTCGTCGTCGCCGTCGCCGTCGTCGTCGTCTCCGTCGTCGTCGTCGTCACAGTCGTCGTCGTCTTCCTCACCGTCATTGTCGCCGTCGTCGCCGTCGTCGTCGTCATGCTCGTCGTCATCGTGGTCGCCGTCGCCGTGGTCGTCGCTGTCGTCGCCGTCGGCGTCTTCGCCGTGGTCGTCGTCGTCGTCCTCGCCGTCGTCGTCGTTGCCGTCGTCGTCGTCGCCGTCTTCGTCGTCGCCCTCGTCGTCATCGTCGTCAGCGTCGTCGCCGTCGACGTCCTCATGCTTGTCGTAGTCGTCGTCGACATTGGTCGTCGTCGTCGCCGTCGACGTCGTCGTCGCCGTCGTCGCCGGCGCCACCGTCGTCGCTGTCGTCAGCGTTGTCGTCGTCGTCGCCGCAGTCCTCGTCACCGTCGTCGCCGTCAGCGTCGTCATCGGGTCGTCGTCGCCATCGTCGTCGCAGGCATCGTCGTCGTCGCCGTCGTCTGCGTCTACGTTGTCGTGCTCGTCGTCGCCGTCGTCGACGTCGTCGTAGTCGGAGTGTGTGCGTGTGTGAGCGTGACGATGATGACTGGTGGTCATGATGGAATGGTGATGAGTATGATTCTGGTGTGATGCTGATGATGAGTGAGAAGGAAGGGAGAGGGCCAAGGAAAGGCGGGTGAATGTGAAAGGAGGAGCGGACAAAGGGTTTCTATCCTGCGCGGGGGTGTCCATAGAACACAAAACCAACATTCAATTTTGGTTTTGTGTTCTGATGATCATATTTATTATGATGTGGGGACTAAGAAAATATAAGCAGAAGGCATCTATACAACAGCACCGTGCCAAGCCAGGGCCATCCTGGGCCCTGGCATGGTGTATACGCCCTCCTGGCCGAGGCCAGGAGGGTCTCTGCACCATCCTAGGGCCCAGGATGGCCCTGGCCTGGCACGGTGGTGGTGTATAGACGCCTCCGTCGGAAAAGATCTACAAATACCAACCACAACAGAGCAGCAAAATCGCCGGGGGGGGGGCCTTCGACCCCAGCGACTGCCCCCACCAGCAGGCAGGGCCCGGGCATCAGATCGCAACGCTGCGCCGGCTTCGAGAGCGACCCGCACTTGCTAATACGAGAGAACGGTGGCCATCTGCACCGCACCACGTTCGGACTCCGTGCAGGCCCAGCTCCAACGCGGTGCGGCGCACAGTTTTCCAGCAACGGGGGCCGAAAAACGAGGCCCCGTACGTCAGATGTCGTAGTGAAAGGGAGGGGGTCACAGCCCCCCAGACCACAAGTTCTACTCCCCCCCAGACCATCCACGAAGGGGTGGCCCTCTGCCCAGACCCCCCCGAACCCTCCAAGACAGCTCAGATCACCCCCCCAAAAAAAAACGTGACCCCCCCACACTTTATCACGAAATCCGGCGGGGTACCACTTCTGGGTCGAGGATTGACGACGCCTCAGGAGACGCTAGCGCGGTATGGCGCAGACAGGTCCTCCGCGGATTTTGGTAACCACTTGCGGAACCTACCAGTGCATGTTAAATCTCAGCAAAACCAGAAAAGCGGCTGGAGTTCGGAATTTGAAGGATGTCTGAGGCCAAATTACCTCCAGCGGGGGTGTCCGATACCCCAGCGTCGATCGGACTGGTGGGGATAGGGTTCGCAAGTGGTCGCAGACGAATCGAACTGCATCGGTTCGGAGCAGAAATCGGATCGGACCGGCTGCGCGGGGATGCACAACCGCGATGCGCAGGCAACTGGGCCGCATCGGACAGCCCGGAGCTCGAAACAGAATCGGATCAAGCCCGTTGAGCTTGACATCGAATCGGATCGATCGAATCGCAATGGGCCCTGCAGGGGGGGCCAACGCCGCCGTCGATGCCGCGGCCATTGTCTTGCGCGTGAGAGAGAGCGAAGGAGGAGGGAGGGCAGGAGAGGGCAAGATTCGGTTGGTCACGTCTGTAACGGGGAGGGGGCGGGAAATGGGTGTTGCCAGGAGGAAACAGGGAGGGGAGGAGAAAGACAAGGCGTGAGGAGGGGCAGGTACTTAGGAGGGGGAGAGAAAAAAGGTATTCGCAAAGGCAAGAGGAATCCTTGTCCCCTCTGGTCGTATTCGTGGCCACCTGCAGCGCTCCCTTCGTTACAGAAAAACTGTCGGGGGCTCAGCGCCCACCCAAGAAACTCGCGTGGACCCCCGAATGTTCATTGTTCTGACATGCCTCCTAGATATGAGGTCCGAGTAGATGGGGTTGGAGGATCGCGACGCATCGCCGATGCATCGGCGATGCATCGGCGACGTCGGCGATGCATCGGCGCCATCGGCTTGGAAAAACTCTTGCTCCACATCGAGCCGCATCGTCGATGCATCGTCGATGCGGAGCGGTCCTCCGACCCCATCTAGTCGGACCCAGATTGGCGTCGCGCAAAAAAAATGTGATTGGGGAAGGGGGAAGGCTTCCCAGGAGCAGGGGTGCCTCTGAGAAACCCTCCTCGTTACCCCTCCCCCCCTGCCTCCCTCGCTCCCGATTCCTCCTCCTCCTCCATCTCGACTCCTCCTCCTCCTCCATCTCCGCCTTCTTCTTCTCCTCTTCCTCCTCCTCCTCCTCGTCCTCCTCCTCCTCCTCTGCCTCCGCGGGCCAGGCCGCGCCGCGGGCGCAGGCCTGTCACGTCACCGTCGAGAGCAGCAAGAGAGGTCCTCCTCCTCCTCCTCCTCCTCCTCCTCCTCCTCCTCCTCCTCCTCCTCCTCCTCCTCCTCCTCCTCCTCCTCCGTCTCCTCCTCCTCCTCCTCTTCCTCCTCCTCCTCCTCCTCCTCCTCCTCCTCCTCCTCCTCCTCCTCCGCCTCTTCCCCCCTCGCCCTGGACACCTCCTGAGAGGCCGAGATCCCTCCTATGTCGAGTTAGTGTCGCTCTCGCCGCTGACACCCGTCGCCGCTGGCAACAACAAAAACCTGGGCGCCCGACCGCGCGCGCCAGCGGCGCTCCGAGCAGGCGTCGCTGCAGCTCCGGAGCGAAGACATGGACCTCGCGCGCGGGATCGAGGAGGAGGCGATGGAAGAGGAGGTGGAGGAGGAGGTGGAGGAGGAGGTGGAGGAGGAGGTGGAGGAGGAGGAGGAGGAGGTGGAGGAGGGGAGGAGGAAGAGGAGGATGCTCGACGATCGAGGAGGAGGATCGAGGATCCAGGATCCAGGACCTCGCGCGGGCGTTCGCTATCCTGTGTCCCCTCAGCCAAACAGGTGCGGCCAGGCGCATCTCAATGGGAGGAGGAGGAGGAGGAGGAGGAGGAGGAGGAGGAGGAGGACGAGGAGGATGAAGCGGAGGAGGACGACGACGACGAGGACAACGACGACGGGGAAGGAGAGAGGAGGATGGAATAGAGAAAGGCCAGAGGAGGGAGGCAGAAGCAGGAGAACGAGCCGGAGCTGTTCATGGGGACCTTTCCTGCTGCGCGAAGGGCCTTGCGTGTAAGGGGCCCTGACGGTGGTGCACGATAGCCATGCACGACGCGTCCGAGCTCTACAGGGCGGGTTGCACCAGAGGGGGGAGGGCCGGTGGTCGGGCGGCGTCCGCCCTACAACCTCGACGGCATTGCTCCGAGGGGTCGTAAACTCCTGGCTGGCAGCGCTGCCCCTTTGTGGGCCAGCCAGCACGTTGGGAACGACGCCTGCAGAACAGACGGACAACACGGATCACAGTATGACGGCGGACGTCCCTTGCCTGAATCATGACGGGGGCCGCGGGTCACCAACCGCTTGTTCGGCCAGAGAGGGAAGGGTCCGAAGAGTGAGAGGAGTTGGTGGTGGGACCTCGACGAACGGACCTTTTGGCTCTGGGGTGTCTGGGCCTTCTCCCTAAACGCGCCATTGATCACGTGGGACCGCGAATTCGACAGTGTCCAAAAGTACGTGGAACTCATCGGTGCAAGCCTTCCTGTGCCAGTCAGTGCGCTGCAACATCAGAAATCCGAACTTGTCTATCAAGCGTGCTGCCGACCCAGAGCCTGGCCCGCATCTCGGCGCGGCGTGCCCGAATCGCGTGCCCCCCGACCTTGCTTGCAGTTACCGTCCAACGCCTGGAATCCAGGACATTCCCAATCAAGTGCCAGCACTCCTGCCAGAGGCAGGACATAGCTATATCTGGCCCTGTGGACCGATTGAGCGCCTCGATCACATCCCCCTACGACTGCCAGGCAGCCAGCACATATCTCAAGCGGCATTCAACACTGGAGACACTGCCCAAAACCCGTCCGCGAAAACCGCTAGATGCGACCGCTCGAGGAAAACGGGCCCAAAAGCGGCGCGCTCACACACACTACCTCTCCGTCCAGCGCGGCGCGCACCTGCCTTGCTCGCCCGATGCCCTCGCACGCCCCACGAAGCAGGTAGCCGCCTCTCCGGCCACCAGCCCGCCCCAACGGCAACCGCTGGCGGTCTCGCAGGAGGGCTCGAGGAGGGGGAAGGGCGGGGCGGGGGCCCTCGCGAATGCCCCTCCCCCGGCGAAGCTCTGAGACCTGACCCCGGGAGTCGCGCCTCGCTGACGGACGCGGCAACCCCCAGCTCCGCTGCTTCGGGCGGCGGAGAAGTCCCTGGAGCCCGGCGCCCACCACCTCGAGACCAGCCGCACACGCGCTTCGCTCACCGAGACCCTCGGCGAACACACGGCCCCGGGCCCGAGAGCACCGGCATGAGACCCGACGAACACGACCCCGATGCTCTCGGGCCCAGCACTCTGGCAGTCGGCACCGCAAGAGGGCGCGGGCCAGCGCGAGAACCGGCCAGGAGCGAAGGAGCCCTCGCAGAGCGGCGGCCCCGACCAGACGAGGGCCCCGCGTGGGGAGCTGCCGCGGGTCGAGATCAGCGCCCAAGAAAATACCGACCGTGGCGAACGCGAAGCCCGCGGGTCCTCCGTCACGCGGCGGTGACCGCGGCGGCAGGTCCCGCGACGATCTGGCCCGTGGGTGGCACTCTGACGCTGCGCGGGTTCCAAGCAGCCGCTGGCCCGCCCTCCGCGGTCGCGTCGCGGTCGATCCCTCCCCGTGCCCGAGCCGACTCCAGAACGGTGGCCGACGTCGACGGCGCGCCAGGGCCGACGTCGTCCGCCAGGAGCACCACGCGGATGGGGCGCCGAGCGCGCGCGCCGGGCATCGCGCCCGCTGCAGCCTGCCCGAAGTCGGCCAGGCGGCTGTCGCCGATGCCCTGGACGCGCGCCCCGCGCAAGATCGACGGGGGCGGCGCGTTGCGCCGCGCGGCCGCGCGGGCCGCGGCACCCGGCGCCTTCACTCGGCGGACGCGATGGCTGCGCGACGCCGGTCGCTGCCGCCGCTCGACCGCCGCCGCCCAGCGGCCGACGCGACGCCGAGGCGCGTCTCGCGCCGCATCTGTCGGAAGCTGGGCGAGGGCTGCTAAAACCGTGGCTGCTAAAGCGGCCCTCCCAGAAGGACAAAGCAACCTCCCCGGAGTGAGGCGCGGCACGCGAAACAGGCGACAGGCTCCTTCCCGGAAGGACGAGGACCACTTCCCGGAGGTCGATTTTTAGCGGCCGCGGAGGTATACAGCCCCTGCCCGGCGTCCGACTCTGCTCGAGGCCGCAATCGGCGCAGACGCCCTGCAGGTCGGCCTCCCTCGCAGACCACGTGGCCCTGACGCCCCCCCCGCGCTGTGAACAAAAAGTCACGACGGAGGTGGCAGCCCTTGCATGCCGCAGTCGGCGCAGACGCCCTGCAGGTCGGCCTCCCTCGCAGACCTGGCAGGACGCGGTCGCGGCCCCGCCCGCCTCGGCGCCCCCCGAGGCGGCGCCGGGCCGCGGCGGCCCCTCGGGGCGCCCCCAGCCTGCTGCCACAACCCGCGTCTCGGGAGCGGCAGAGAGGGGGGTGTCCAACAGGGGGGGGTTGTAGATCAGGACCGGCGGCATGTGCGCGGCCCGGCGGGGGGGCCTGGGACGTACTGAAATAAGAAGAAGCGCCACGAAATCCGAGGAAAAATCATGGCCCGCGCCATGATATCCCACGACCCCCTATCTTTTCCGCCCCCGAGCGCCACGACCTCGGCGCGGTGGCGCTCGACGAGATCCCGCGGCCCGCGCGAGCTGCCCGGGCGAGGTCGGCGAGAGAGAGAGGCGGGCCTCGGCCGGGAAAAAAAACGGCCGACGGCGCCGCCGGCTCCGCCCGCGAGCACGAGCGCCGAGGCACCTCGGGGCGAAGAGCTCACGCAGAGGCACACGGGAACACCATACCGTCGGGGCGTTGACCTAAGGAACTCTAAATCAGGAACGAGGCCCCTGTCTCCCACACGTTGAACTTCGACTTCCCATGGAAAGCCTCAGGAAGACCGGAGACAAACTGCAGAACAATCAAGGAACACCGAGCCCCTCCCCAACGAAAAGGGTTCCTTCTTCAGGGCCCCGACTGCATTCCGAACCTTTGCGTTGCCCAGAAAGAACGGCTCCAAGAATCCGGGCGCGGCATCCCCACCGCGCTCCAGCAAACCGGACCAGCCAGCCGCGGCGGCGCGCGCTCGAAGCACGCGGCCAGGTCGCATTATAGGGACCGAGCAGGCGACGCCCTCCGCGACGGCCGCCTCACGCGAAGCGCCAGCGCCGACGCGGCCCGCTCGCTCGAGCACCCTTTACAAGCCAAGTCGCGGGCACCCCGGCGACTCCCCCCCCCACGGCGTGGAACCGCGCTTCCGCGCGCGCCCCCCGGATCGAGAAATGTCCGGGGCGACGCTGGGCTTGCGCAGCCCGCCAACGATGGCCATCCGCTGCTTCCAGCTGACGTTGGCAACGGCGAGAAGCCGCCGCTGCAGAACCTCGGCCTCGCCCCCTGCGACCTCGGCGACGCGGCGGGCGAAGGCCAAGTCGTCGCTACCCCGACGGCCCCGATGTCGCTAAGAGAGGCGACGACGCCGCCCCAGACGGCGCTCTCGCCAGCGCCCCGTGATTGCGCGGGCCCCGCTGAAGTCGCGTGTCGAAAATAGCTGCAGAGGGTGAATAGTTCGTTCGGTCATAATTCGATAAAAAAACACCGACATCAGGCTGCTCAAGGCTCTCGATTAATCCTTTCAGGGCTGCTGAATACACTGATGGTACTGAGAGCTCTGTAGCTGCTCTTAATCTCGAGATCAAGTCCATCAACCGAACGTCCCCGGAAGGCCTCCAGCGCCGCCGCCGAAGCCGCCAGGCGCGCCCCCGCGGGCGCCAGCGACGCCGATGAAGCCGCCACGAACGCCGTCGAGGCGCCATGCGAACCCTGCCACTGGGGCCTTCGGTGGAGCTCCCTATGAGGCCACGAAACGTTGTACTGGGTGAGTGAAACGCAGGGAGGAGGGGGAGGAGGGCGGAGGGGGAGGAAGGAGGGAGGAGGGACGCGGGGACCGTCCCTTCAAAACGAGGGCCCAACACCACAGGACGGCTGGGAAAAACTGCAAGAGCTTCACGGATTGAGGGCGGGCCGTTTTCAAAATGTGGCTCTCGCCGTAGCGCCGCGCACGTTTGTTTTCAAAAAAAGAGTTTCACGGATTCAGGGCAGGTGGTTTCAAAATGTGGCTCTGCGCCGCGCACATTCGTTTTAAAAAAGTGCAAGAGCTTCACGGATTGAGGGTGGCTCCTTTCCAAAATGTAGCTCTCGCCTTAGCGCCGCGCACATTCGTTGTTAACAGTGTGCAAGCGACTCACGGATTCCCATGATCAACGTACCAGAAATGGTGTGCTGAAAAAGTCAGGATTATGCGGGTGCAACACTGATGCTGATTTGCAGCGCTGCAATCCCAGACATGGCGTTCTGGCAGAATTCAGGATCGTCAAGACGCAGCAGCCAGGTTGATCCGTGGCGTTGAAAATCCGAGACCAATGTTTGGGCATGTTTCAGTGTCTTCAAACGGTTGTCTTCCAACGAGGCAGTTCTCTTAATGGAAACGAACCGTTGTAGTGGCCTATGAAGAGGGAGCTTGGAGGAAGGGTTAATTCCAACATCGTTGATGACTCTTGGGTTTACACTAGTCCTCTTCCTCCTCCTCCTCCTCCTCCTCCTCCTCCACTTCCTCTTCCTCTTTCTTCTCCTCCTCCTCCTCCTGCTCTTCCTTCTCGACCTCCACCACCTCCACTTCCTCCTCCTTCTCCGTCTCCTCCTTCTCTTCCTCCTCCTCTCTCAAGCCGCGCTGGCTCAGGCACGCGCGCGCCTGCTCGGCGCGCCCTCGCCTCCGTCTGGTGCCCCCGCGCTCAATGTCGACTCGCTGAGGGTGAGTCGCTGCGGCTTCAGGTCCATCGCTGTGGCGCGGTGACAAGACGGGGTCAACACTACAGTACGCAGCGCATGAGCGTTACACCGATCGTGGTGATCGAGTCGCGAAAGGCCTCGCTGACTTTACAAAATGTGTTAGGTACAGTACCGCTGCCGCGGTTATTGCCGGCTTCGGGGAGCGACACGACGGCGCGCTCAAGACTCAGGTCGAGGCAACGCTCCCGCTCTCGATCGCACCCGCCGGGCAGGCCAGGCCGGTCCCCGAGTATGATGAGCTCAGGGTCTCGGAGCAAAGGTAGCCGCCAGCAGCGTCTCCGCCAGCTCCGGGACCTCACGTGCCAGGTCCAGGACATGAAGTCCCAGATCGAGCAGTAGAAGCAGCGCGAGAAGCAGTTGCAGTTGGAGCCGCAGCTACAGCAGGACAAGTTCCACGGCATGGAAAAGCTGCTGAAGGAACAGCAGCGACTGGCGCTACGACGACAGACGCTGGTGGAGAAGGATCAGGAGGTGCACAAGTTGAGGCAAGGGCAGCAGCTCCGAGTGCAGCTCCAGGAGGAGAAAGAAGGAGAAAGCACAGGACTACCAGCGCCGGCGCAGCCCGTCCACTGCGAGGCTCTCTCCGAGGCGGAGGCTCGCCAGATGCACTGGCCGAAACCGGTGCAAAGCCGGAGCGGGCGGGCGGCGAGCTCGGAGCGACCGAAGGCAGGTCACGCGCCTGACTACCTACCAGACCACCCCAACCCAACCCGAAGACCCGAATTTCGGGTTGGGGGGGTAAGGATTCCACACGTGTTGTTTCGATGTTTCCCGACCCCCCCCCACTGGAAATCGAAGGTAAATCTGAGCCTTCGGGTTGGGTTGGGGTGGTTTGGTGGGTGGTCACGCGCCCGAGTCGCTCCCCCCCTCCATGGTGGACGGAGGCGGGAGAAGGCGGCGGCGCGCTCACAGCGACCGGAGGTCGAGAGCCCGCGTCGCCCTGTCACTCCACGCCGCCGGGCAAACCCGCCGCTGCCCTTTATGTCGGGCCGGTCCCCCATACAGGGGGAGCTTCGACGAAACATCAAACAATGCCCCAAAAAATACCCCGAGAAGGCCAAAACATATTCCAAAAATGGTCCCCAGATGATGTTTGTACTCTATTTTCTGACTATGTGGGAGGTAGTTTTTACTTTTCGTCGAAAAATCTCCCTGTAGGGGGACAGGCCCGACCTAACGCTGCCGCCAACGCCTCCCCGCCCGTGCCGGCGGCCGCAGAGCCGGAGCCCCCACCGTCCCCCGTTGTCATCCAGCCGCCTCTCTCCGGAGCCCGCGGCGGCCGTGGAGAGGGCGGGGGGGCGGGGCGCATGGAGCGACGCCAGCGGAGTCCAGGACGATTTTTTAACACATTGGATGTTTAAACATATTGGATTTTTAATATATGATTAATATACGCGTGAGGTTATGCATGAAATCATCGTTGCCTTTACTACTAAATCCCTGCGTGTTTAATACATGATCCGCACGCGGAGCTTGTATCAAGACGGCAGCGTGTCGATACATCGGAGATTGTGGTACGAGTCCTGAGGAGATGGATTTCGCTGTGGTTCGGCCGATCCCTTCCTTCCCGACTCTCGCCCACGACAGGCAAGGAGACCGCGATGATGCAGCCCTCAAGTCCGATGCCGATGGTATCTCTTCCAATGGTCCGGATGGCTTGGCTGTGGAGGCCGAGCCGCCACCGCAAGGGTACTTCAACGACAGCGGCCGCGGGGCCACCCTCTCCACGGATGCGGCCAGCGAGTCCAAAACCGCAGACATAGAGAGCGCAAGGTGCGAGGCCAGGAGACGACCCCCGCCCTCGTGCCAAGAATAAAGACACGAATAAGAAATCATAAGAAGCAAACTAATGACAATGACGCCCAAATCGCAATGTGTGGTGATGACAGACCACATTTCCCTGTCCAGCAAGAGTTGGATGAGACTACGACGTGCGAGTTCGGATCAGCGGCTAAAACTTTGGAGACCGTGCGCCACGCACCATGACTTACCAATGTTGGTACGTGCAGGGATGCAACCTGACCTTGCTTTGCTGGTGGACCAGGCTACTGTTCTCGCGGATTGGACGCCAGGTTTGTGACTCAGTGGCGGGTATATTCCCGTGGTACTCGTAGTTTGTAAGGTATCTGACCCGTTGTTTTCTGAATATGTGTACCGGAGGCTCACAAGCACGGCGCTGTGGTAGCCGCCGCCTTGGGTACTATACGTGATAAACTTTGTCGATTGATTCGGGTCCCTAGGCGCTCCTGTCGACGACGTGGATTCTGGAAGTCTGAGCGTCCGCGTCTCTTCCTCCTCCTCTGTCGTCTCCGTCTCCTCCTCCTCCTCCTCCTCCGTCTCCTCCTCCTCCTCCTCATCCTCCTCATCCTCCTCCTCCTCCTCCTCCTCCTCCTCCCCCTCCTCCTCGTCCGCCTGCTCGACCTCCTCCTCCTCCTCCTCCTGCTCCTCCCCCTCCTCCCCCTCCTCCCCCTCCTCCTCTTCCATGTCCTCCATCGCCGTCTCATCCTCCTGGTCCTATTCCATCGTCTCCACCTCCTCCTCATCCTTCTCCTCCCCCTCATCGTCCGTCTCCTCCTCCTCCTCCTCCACCTCCTTTACCTCCTCCTCCTCCTCCGACCGCGGGTCGATCCTCCTCCTCCCCCTCCTCCTACTCATCCTCCTCCCTCGCCCACTTCCTCCCTCCCTCCTTCCCTCCCCTCCTCCCTCCTCGGCTGACACTGGTCCTGCTCCTCCTCCTCATCCTCCTCAGATTCCTCTTCTCATCCTGTACACCATCAGCGTCACCCTTCTTAGCTTACTCTTGATCCTGTAGATCTGTACTGTACCCCATGGAAGCACATGTCGATACCACCCGCTCCGAACAAAAAAAACAAACGTTGCCGCGATCCGTCTGCGCAGTCAGCTCAACGACAAATCGCGTGAGGAGCAGGCAGGGTCCCACGTCTGGTCCAACAGGCCTTCTGAACCAACAACGGAGTTCGAGCAAGGTTGGCAACCGACCCTGACACCATTGCACGACGCGCTTAGCAACGCAGTGAGGTCAGAAGGGGTCGGGGAGCCATGGCTCTCAGCACTCGAACCTCGGTCCTGCTTGGACCAGCTCGGGATACTGCTCTCCCTTGCGCTTATTCCTCCTCCCGTTCCTGATCTTCCTTCCCGCCATTGGAGGCCTGGAAGTTGGCACCAACACCAGCACAAGGGGTTGCCTCCAAATATGGAGGATGGTCCTGGATTTCGGTGTTGGTGGTAATATTCCGGTCACCTTGGAAGCCAGAAGATGACCACCATCACCGAGATCGGGATCGTCTTCCCTCGGTGAAGGCAAACCATCGATCTTGGTGTTGGTGTCAACCTGTAGGCCTGCGACGCCATTCTACACCCCCCCCCTCATTTTCATCCTTCCTCCGCCTCCGACGAAGACGAGAACGACGAATGGTGCCGCCGACGACGACGACGACGACGACGGCGACGGCGACGGCGACCACGACCACCACCACGACACCGTCGAAGACGACGAAGACGTTGCGCTGATGACGACGGGACGACGGGACGACGACAACGACGATGACGACGACGTCGACAACGCTGCGCGGCGTCGAGCCTCATGGATCTTCCATCGGCAGCCCCAGAGGGCATGCCACGCGCTGGGCTGGACTTGGCCTGTCAAGGGCGGGGACGGGGGAAGCGGAGGGCGGGGGCGAAGGGAAGTTCATCTTCCCTCCCTCCCTCCCTCCCTCGCTCCTCTGCCTCATCCTTCCTCCTCCACCTCTGGTTCATCCTCCCTCCCTCGATCCATCCATGCGTCTCCCTCGTTCTCGATCTCCCCTCCCTCCACGGCCCTCCCTCCCTCCCTCCCTCGTCTCTCCCTCGCTCCCCCTACCTTCCGTGCCATCTCCCCCCCGTACTCCTTCCGCGCGCGGAGTTGAGGGGGCGATGGCGAGGGGTGGAGGACAAAAGGGAAGAAAAGGGGGAGAGGGGAGAGGGGAGAGGGAGGAGGGAGATGAAGGGAACAAAGAGGGAGGAACGGAGGTCAAGTAGGGCGCGGCTGGGCGGGCTATGGTGGGCGCGGTGGTGAGCTCTGGGGATGGGCAGATATGGCCTGGCTGACCTGGGAATGGGCAGATATGGGGAGGGCAGGCAACTCAAAGCCCCTGAAAGCACCTGGAGACCCAACATGAACAGGGTCATCGCGCACGCCCCGATTGTCGCGCAATCTGGGAGGTCGTTGGAAAAACTTGGTCATTGCTATCAAGCACAAGTGCGTATCATTGGCGTCACCGTCCCCACTCATCATCATCATCATCATCATCATCATCATCATCATCATCATCATCATCATCATCATCATCATCATCATCATCATCATCATCATCATCATCAGCATCAGCATCAGCATCAGCATCAGCATCAGCATCATCATCAGCAGCATCAGCATCATCATCAGCATCATCATCATTATAATCAGTATCTTCATCGTCATCAGCATCCTCAGCAGCAGCATAATCATCAGCAACATCATCATCATCATCAGCAGCAGCATCAGTATCATCAGAATCGTCATCGTCGTCGTCGTTGTCATCATCATCATCATCACCACCATCCTCATCATCATCACCATCATCATCATCACCATCACTATCATGATCGGCGACATTATGATCATGCTAAGGATCACGGTCACGACCATCCTCCTCCACCTCCTCCTCCTCCTCCTTCTTCTCCTCCTCATCATCAACCGCGTCATTGTGCTCCTCCTCGGTCATCTCCCCCTCCACCTCCTCCTCCTCCTCCTCCTCCTCCTCCTCCTACTCTTCCTCATCCTAATCATCATCACCATCGCCATCAAAATTACCCTCAGCATCAGCATCATCATCATCATCATCATCATCATCATCATCATCATCATCATCATCATCATCATCATCATCATCAGCATTATCATGATCATAATTACCATAACCATGATCATCATCAGCAGCAGCACCACCATCAGCATCACCATCATCCTCATCAACGCCAGCATCATCATCATCATCATCAGCAGCAGCATCATCAGCATCATCATCGTGGTCATCGTCATCATCATCACCACCATCCTCCTTATCATCACCATCATCATCAGCAGCATCACCACCGTCACCATCACCATCACAATCATCATCACCACCACCACCACCGTCAGCATCATCAACGTCATCTATGTCATCAGAAGCATCGCCATTAACACTTATCATCATCGTCATCATCATAAGCATCAGCATCATCATCACCATCGTCAACACCATCATCATCATCATCAGCAGCAGCACCACCATCAGCATCAACATCACCCTCAACATCCACGTCAGCAGCAGCATCATCATTAGCATCATCATCAGCATCATCACCACACTAGTCATCACAATCAGCAGCAGCATCGTCATCACTAGCAGCATCACCATCACCATCACCACTTCCGGCGTCAGCATCGTCATCATCATCAGCATCATCATCGGTATCAACATCCGCATCATCATCAGTACAAGCACCATCATCATCATCATCATCATCATCATCATCATCATCATCAGCATCATCATCATCATCATCATCATCATCATCATCATCATCATCATCATCATCATCATCGTCGTCGCCGTGACCATCCCCATCATCGTAGTCATCAGCATCATCAGAATCATCAGCCTCATCAGCATCAGCATCAGCATCATCATCATCATCATAATCATCATCATCATCCTCATCATCATCATCGTCATCATCGTCATCATCATCGCCATCATCATCATGATCATCCCCACCATCATCATCATCAGCATCATCACCACCGTCACCATCGTCATCACCACCCCCATCACTATCACCACCACCACCATCATCAGCATCATCAACAGCATCAGCATGACGATCATCATCATCGCCATCCTCATCATCGTCGTCACCATTAGCACTTACCAGCATCAGCATCATCATCTTCGTCATCATCATCAACATCACAATAATCGCCAGTGTTATCATCATCAGCAGCAGCAGCAGCACCATCATCAGAATCGTCGTCGTCATCGTGATCATCATTAGCAGCAGCAGCAGCATCATCATCATTATCATCATCACCATCATCACCATCGTCATCGTCATCGTCATGGACATCTCCATCACCATCATGGTCACAATCGACATCCCGATCACCATCTTCATGGTCATCGATACCATTTCGCATTGGCCAGAAGAAGCCGTCATGGTGACCGTCATCAGAAGGATGTTGGCCCCGTGAAGCCCCGTGGAAGCCTCTTGGGGGCGCCATCGGGTGACCCGGAGCTGTCTGGGACCGTCGGGAGGTCTTCTGACTACCTACCAGACCACCCCAACCCAACCCGAAGACCCGAATTTCGGGTTGGGGGGGGTACGGGTTCCATATGTGTTTTCTCGAGGTTCCCCGACCCCCCCCAACTGGAAATGGAGGTGAAATCGAGACCTTCGGGTTGGGTTGGGGTGGTTTGGTGGGTGGTGATCTTCTGGGGCCGTCTTGGCGTGCCCGACAGGAATCTCGAGGCCGCTTGCGATGGTGTGGGAGCCATCTATAGAGGCCGTTGGGGGGGACCGCAGTCGACCGTCGGGGGACCCTTCTGGGGCTCCTCTGGGGACGGGGCGGAGCAGGCCGAGGGAGGAGGAGGCGATGTGGATGATCTAGTAGAGAGGACTTTCGATTCATCGTTATCGAGCCTACTTCTCAGGGGTTGGGCGTGGGGGCGGTGCTATGGAACAGACGTGCAATGTTACGCATTGGCAGCCTATGAGGATGGGCTATCAACGGTTGAGGAAATCAGGTACCTGGCGTCTACTGGGGGGTGGGGCAGGCCCCAAGGTGAATTGCGGTTGGGTTGCTGCTTGGGCCTGTATCTAGAGAGGCATGGCATGGCGGCCGACACGGCTGTCCGCAGAGCCTGCCAGTCTGGGGTTGCAGCCACGAGCATGTGGCAACAGAGGACACAAACAACACCGAGATGTCGATTGCATGATCGAGAGCGTAGTGATATGGGCCTTGGTGGAGCAGTCGGGTCGCACAGCTTTTGTATCACATTGCATTGCATGTCATGGCATTGACACAATCTCAATGCCAGTGCCATGGTGCGTGCGCTCAAGCATTGCCTAACATACGGACGCCAGCATCGGACGTCATATGAAATGTCAGCGACGCCATGAATGGCATCCTTGTTCCCCTGTCTGTGGGCCGGTATCCCTCGGTTAGACCGACCCCAGGGGAGGGGCAACAATGAGGGATGATGGGGGGAGAAGGGAGCGTCGGAAAAACGTTCCGGGCAGTCTCGAGGCCCTCTTGGGACGTATTGGGCCCATTTGGCGCGACGAGGAGGACAAACACGAGGGATGTGGAGGTAAGAATGAGGAAGAGGAAAGCAATAAGAAGGATGTGGACGCCAGTCTGACGTCGCGCCGGCTTCGGCATGAACGACATGCTGTTCATCAGCGCCCTCGCGCTCGCCGTCTGTCGGCCGAGCTCCAGAAGAGCCCCACGAAGGACCCGAGAGGGCCCAGAGAGGGTCCTAGGAGGGCCCAAAAGAGGTTGGGAAATGCGGCCGTGTTCCCCACATCGATTTGAGAGGCTCCTGGGGAGTTCTTGGAGCCTTCTTGGAGCCCCTTGGGGCCCTCTGAAATCCCTCCCTTCTCGTCCTCTCGCCGTCCTTCCTCATCCTCCCCCGTGTTCCCAGTGCCGCGCGGTGCTGTGCTTTGCCGTCCGTGCCCGAAGCAGTCCACATTTTGTACTGTCATGTGCGGACGCAAGGCCCCCACCCAGGCCCCACCCCCCAGACTAGGTACCGAGATCGGGGCACCATCGGATTGTCGAGCAGCGGTCGTGCCCAGTGACCGAATCCACGAATTGTATTGTCAAGAGCGGACAGCATTTGTTTGGAGGCCGCCCGAAGACCGTACTGTCAAATGTGGACATGTGTCCCTGCCTCACAGGTTGTACTGTCGAGTGCGGACAAATTCTTTGTGCCACTGCGCGCACAATATGCGAACAGGGGGTGCGCGCACACGACAATCTGCGGACACGCGTGTTGTCCGCAGATGGTCCTGGGGTCGTCGGGTCACGCGCGCGGGATCCAGAGATCGGTGGTGGGACGTCCGTAGTACCCGCGCCAAATCCACAGATCGACGGGTGGAATATTGTCTGCGCGCGCCGAATCCACATTTCGAAGATCATGATAAACCCTTTCGGTTTTTGGGGGTCCCCCAGCCCATGCCACTTGGAGTGTCCCAAGGCTCCCGATAGGTCACGGCCATCTCTGAGCCTAAAGTTGCGACGATGTACGGTGTCTCATGTGAAACGGGCCAGACCACTTCCGGTCAGGGCATGTTGGGGCTGGAGATGCGAAGAAGTCTCAGCCCAAACCGGCTGGACCACCTCAGGCCAGGGCATATCAGGGCCCAGAACTGCGAGGATGCCTCAAGCGTAACGGGCTGGCCACCTCGCGAGCGGCACTTCGTCCTGCGGCTACACCTCCTCCGCCTCCTGCTCCTCCGCCTGCTGATGCTGCTGGTCCTCCTCCTTCTCTTCCCGACTCACAGGGAGAAGGAGGAGAGGAGGGAGGAGAGTGAGGGTCCGAGGAAACCACGCAGTGGACGCAGAGCACGAAGGAACCATCAAATTGTTGCCCATGCGCCAGTCTGTAACATATTCGCGAGAAGCGCGGATAGATCGAATGTTTTCGTTCGTTGACCGCGCGCTTCGGTTGATCCAGCTGCGCCGCGCTGGAAGCGCGCCCTGCGCAATCAGCGCTTTCATCGGTTGATTCTGGCGAGGTCCGGGAAAGGATTTAGGCGCTGGCGCGCCATTGCGCTCCAGAGGTGCTGGATGACGCCAGCCCTGCGTCGCTGTAGCGTGTGACTGTGGCCGACTTCACATCCACACGGCTTTTCTGCCTTCGGTTTGCCAGGCGGGCGCGTCGCCACTTGCCGAGCCGCTCGGCCTTCCAGCTTGTCCGCGGGACCAGATCCGCACATTACATGAGCGACGATCAAACACGGGTCTTACGCGAGATGGCGTAGCGACCTTACGCCGCAGCTTACGAGGGCCGCCAGCGCGGCACGCCACATTGAAGACGAGGGCGCTTACGCGCGAGCTTACGCGGGCAACTTACGCGCCAATGTCGGCGCATACGACCCCGTTCGTTTGCATCGCTCACATGAATCTGCGGACTACAGCGGCTGGATAGACACAGCCCTACAGAGAGCATGGCGAACAGACCCAAAGACCAACCAAACGCTGCGCAACAACATAGAACAGAGCGGCCCAGGGACGCACACTAATCAATAGGCAGAGCTCCCAGGATCCCCAGATGTGCCAATCTCGTCTGGGCTTTCGGCTTCCCCCGCCCCCACGTCCCACCGTTTCCCCTGGGAGCCGGCGACGAGTCGTGCCTCTGTGCCCCTCCCCCTCCTGCTGCAGGCAGGGGCAGCGCGGGGGGCAGACGGCAAGCCGCGCCGCTCGAGGCGCGCCATCCTTCTCCCTGGGAGCCGGCGACGAATCTGCATCGTGCCTCCCCGTGCCCCGCCCCCGCCTGCTGCAGGCAGAGGCAGCGCCGGGGGCAGGCGCGGCGAGGAGGAGGAGGAGGAGGAGGAGGAGGAGGAGGAGGAGGAGGAGGAGGAGGAGGAGGAGGAGGAGCCGCCCCCGGGGCGGCTTGCCGCCGGCGGCGCGCGCGAAGAGAGAGCGAGGAGCGGGGCGAGGAGCGGGGCCGCCGCCTCGTAGGCCCGCTGGGCCCGGACGGCGGAGCAGAGGTAGAGGATCGAGGCCGCCAGGGCGAAGGAGATCGCGACCACGCACCTGCGGCGGCGGGGGGGCCGCGGGGGCCCCCGAGGAGCTCCTCCCGCCCGGCCCTCGACGGGCGCCGCGCGAGAGAGAAGGAACACCTGGACATCTTGAACCCTGTCAGATGTCCATCGCTCGGACGTCCACGCCCTGTGTTTTTTGTTCGGCTCCGTGCGTGGCTCTGTTCGCCAGATGATCGAGGAGGCTCCTCGATGGTCCTCGCCGAGGGAAAAACGCACACGTCCGAGCGATGCCGAGATCAGTGTCACGACTTCGTGCTCCTCCGGCTCGTGGGCTGCCGTGGTGGGCTCCGCGCTCCGGGCGCGCGCGAGCGAGGAGCGCAGGAGCGCAGCCCAGGGTCGGAGCGGCGAGTCGGACCTCGGCGATCGAGGCGGGTCGGATCGGCAGAAGTCGGCAGCCGAGCCGGGGGAGGTCGAATCGGCGGACACCGGCAGGCTTGCAGGCCTCCATCGGGGAATCGGAGCCCACAGCGGAGTGCCGCCTCGAATCGAATCGGAACCGGAAGCCACCGAAACCGAATCGAATCGAATCGGAGGAACCGAAATGAGCCCTGCAGGGGGGGCGCCCGCGATCCAGGAGAGTGCTCAAGTAGGGGATCGTCCACAGGGTCGGTTTACCCCCAGGATTGGCTGGCTCGCCGAATGTACAGCGAGCACGCTTATGGCTCGTAGACCTGCGAGCCTTCTACGCAGTGCTGGCAGATTCGAAAAAAGAAATCACTGTTGGGGTACAGCGAAAAGCTTGCAGTCGATCCTGAGGGGCAACGATAGGGGGGGACTGGCATAGGGGGGGGATGCATCGACCTGGAATCGGCGATACTAGGCCCCTGCTAGTGGAGCCGCGCCTTCCTGGGCAGGTTGGGGCTATCGGGCCTCCAGCGGCGATCAGTGGGCGATTGCATGCCGATGCATTCCCCCCTTGTGCCCATCCCCCCCTATCGCTGCCCCTGCGTGCGATATTCCCCCCCTATCGCTGCTTCTGGCTGCCCCTATCGCTGCCCATCCCCCCCCCTATCGCGCCCCCCGCATCCCCCCCCTTTATGCCCATCCCCCCCCCTAAGCCCATCCCCATGCATTCCCCCCCTATGCCTATCCCCATGCATTCCCCCCTGTGCCTATCCCCATGCATTCCCCCCCTTATGCCCATCCCCCCCTCCCTGTCGCTGCCCCTGAGAGCCCCCGCCCGAGGTGCCGGGGGAGCAGGCAGGCCGCGGCGGGCAGGGGCAGAGGCCCCGGTCGGACCGGCAGCCTAGGGCCGTGGACGGGCGCGGGCGCGGCGGGGCGCGGCGCGCGGAAGGCGCCAGGGCTAAGTCGGGCCGGTCCCTCTGCAGGGGGGAGATCCCAAAACAGTCAGAAAATCGTCCGGGGGGTGTTGTTTTAGTATGTTTCGAACATTTGGGAATATGTTTTGAGTATTTGTTATTTCTCGTCGCAAATCCCCCTGAAGGGGGCGGCGCGCGGAACGCGCGGAAGACGCCAGGGTTAAATCGGGCCTGGCCCTCTGCAAGGGGGAGATTCCAAAAGAGTCAGAAAATCGTCCGGGGACTCTTTTTGTTAGTATGTTTTGACCATGTTAGAATATGTCTCGAGTATTTTTTGATTGTTCGTCGCAGATCCCCCTGAAGCGGGACACGCCCGACTGAACGCCAGGGGCGGCGCCGCAGGATTTGGCTGACCTAAAAAGGGGGGGTCCAGCTGGGGGTGGTGCAAGAGGTGTGGGGCAAGAGTGGTGCAAATGTATGACGCCAGAGCACTGTGTTGCGACTAAGGTGATGCACGCGACGGTCCAGCAACACATCTGCGCACAAGAGTGTATTGCACGCCCCAAGTCTACTGCAACCCCAAAGATCTATCGCACCGAATCTATTGCACCACCCTCTTTTCGATGGACCCCCCGTCGGGGTTAACCAGAGCGGGGCCGCCAGGGGGGTCCAGCGCCGATCCGAAAAGTCCGCGCGGACCTCCGAGACTTTTTTTGTTTACGTCCTTTGCTTGTTCCCCGAAAGGTGGGCGTGCGGCAGGACCGTCGAGCCACGACGACGCGGGAGCTGGATCCTGACACCGCGGCTCGCCGATACCGCCAGACGTTCGACGTCGGCAGGCTCCAGGCTATGAGCCATCGGCGACGTTCCACCTCGCACGCTCGCGGCAGGGGTCGCCTCCAGCTCGGCGCGGCGCGACCCTGCCGGAGAGGGTCGAAACGTTTGGGCACCCGAGGGCTTCATCGACCGGGTGCGATCGGGGTCGTCGAAGAGGGCGGGCAGGACGATGGGGGGTCAGCGCATCATGGCCCGATGCGCATGCGCGGAGGGAGGAGGGGGCCACCGGGGGAACACCTGGAAAGAAAACCAAGAAGGTGCAGACGTAGCCATCTGACACTCCGCGCGGATGTCTTGGATCTGCGCCGGGCCCCCCTGGCGGCGCCTCCGGCGCAGAGCCTGGCGCGCTCCGCGCGCCAGGGAGGGGGGCTCGGCGCAGAACCGAGAAGTCCGCGCGGACCGTCAAGAGTGCATGTCTACGCCGTGCCTCCGTCTTCGGCGAAAGAAGAGCGGCCGCGCGCAGAGGGGGGTTCGGGGGGGGAGGGAGGCCGCTTCTCAGAAGCCTCCCACCCTCCACAATGACCAGTCCATATGAATACGACTCTCCTCTCTCCACTGATGACGTCCGGGAGATGTCTGGCCCCCTTCCGCGCACTCTTAGTTACACGCAAGATTCTCGGGAAATGAGTTGTCGCTTGGGCTTTGTCTTCAAAATACTGTTCCCGCTGCGCTGGCCCCATTTCTGCGCCTCGGGTTGTTCCAAATCGTGCTCCCGCTGCAGCGCGGGCGTTCTCGGTTCTTCCGAAAAGGTCCCAAAATCCAAAAAAAATCCACCGAAAAACCATCGAAATGATTACACATCCGGTGCCGATTCGTTGATTTTGGGGTCGCAGAAGCCCCCCGCCCCGCCCCCCACCCACTTTGGGGCGTCGTCGCTCTCAGGAAGTATCAAGTGGGAGCCCCGTTTCTGTTCTGAGAAGGCGATGTTGAAAGCAGAGCCGGCGGGTGCTCTTCATCAGCCCCGCCTTGTGTGGAGGTGTGGAGGTTTTCGGGGAGCCCAAGGAGCTAGACATGGAGCCACGACTCAAGACCGGCCCAGACCTCTCGAAGACGATCCACTTACCCTCCAAGGAACCTGGCACCATGCCATGACAAGCTGTTCGGTGTTGTGTTCTGCGCCGCTGTGCGATGCCACGCTTTGCGTTGCAATGCTTTGCGGTGCAATGCTTCTCTGCGCAATGCCAAGCCATGCTATGTCATGCTACGCTCTGCTGTAAGGCTCCAGTGGGAGGGTTCGCATGGCGCCACCGTACCCAAGTCGGCACCCCCATCAGACGTCTCGTGGCCCCAGAGGATGCTCCACCGAAGGCAGAGGATGCTTCACTGAAGGCTCAGGTGGGAGGGGTCGCATGGCACCACCGCGCCCAATTCGGCACGCACCTCACACGGTTCGTGACCCCCATGGGGAGCTCCGCCGAAAGCGGGACCCACCATGCGGTACTCGCAGTTGCATATGGCTGGGCCTTTCGTCCGGCTAATTATCACAGCGCGAGGAGGCCTGGGTGTGCGATGGGCGATCCTCTTCGCCCCATCTGATGAGCCTGTTTTCCACCACCACCAGAAGTTGGAGGGGGAGGGGATCCTCCTCCTCCTCCTCCTCCTCCTCCTCCTCCTCCTCCTCCTCCTCCTCCTCCTCCTCCTCCTCCTCCCCCTCCTCTTCGTCCTCCACCTCCTTCCCCCCTCCAACTTCTGGCGGCGGCGGCGAAAATCAGGCCCCTCACCATCCCTCGCGCCGCGCCCGTGGAGAAGGGCAGCCCGCTCCGGCCCCGACCGCGAGGCCCGCGAGGCGCGGTGGCCTCCGCGAGCCCCCGCGGGTGGCCTCCTGGGGGGAGGCGAGGCTCCAAGGGCGAGGAGGAGGAGGATGAGGAGAGGGAGGAGGAGGAGGAGGAGGAGGAGGAGGAGGAGGAGGAGGAGAGGAGGAGGAGGAGAAGGAGGAGGAGGAGGAGGAGGAGGAGGGGGGGAGGCGAGGCTCCAAGGGGCGGCCGGTCGGGGGCGCGGGCCCACCGGGCGGCGTGCTGCGACGCGCGCGGCGCACCCCGGGCCGGGCAGGGAGCCCCAGCGCCCCACCGCCCCTCCGCCCCTCTCCCTCCTGCTCCTCCTCCTCCTCCTCCTCCACCTCTCCTCCTCCTCCTCCTCCTCCTCCCTCCTCCTCCACCTCATCATCATCCTCCTCTCCTTCTCCACCTCCTCCTCCTCCTCCTCCTCCTCCTCCTCCTCCTCCTCCTCCTCCTCCTCCTCCTCATCCTTCTCCTCCTGATCCTGATCCTCCTCCTCTTCCTCCCTCTCCTCCTCCTCGTCGTCCTCCGCCTCCTCCTCCTCCTCCATCCCCGCCCCTGTGTTGCTCCCATCGCACTTGGGGACCGCATCCCGAAAATGAGATTCGAGCCCCCACAGAAGTGTCGGAACGGTGTCGATCGAGTATCGCCTCCCGGTGCGCGACACGTGAAAACCCCCAAGTTTCGGTATTTTCGCGGTGCTCGAAAGTCGTTCTGGTGATCAAGGCTAAAGTAGGTTGGAACATCATAATCCCCCCCCCCTCATCCGTTCAGCCAGTAATCGACGGGGGCGTACGCCAAAGGACCAGGGCTGACCACGCCTGATGCTTGCGCAAGGGTGCTGCACCGAAGGGGGCGTCCAGCAGTCGCGAGGTGGCGCAATGGGCCCCTTCTGGTAGCACCCAAACTGAAGGGGACCTGGAACACACAAATAAATACACACAGATAAACTTATCCCCCATATTTTCCCATATTTTCTGTTTTCTTGTCTTCCCGCCCAACTCCCATATTTTCCCATATTTTCCTGGGACTCGACGACTAATTGTGTCTGTGTGTTTCTTTCCCTCCTGACAAACCACGGTCAACCAATCTGGATCTTGCAAGAGCTTGGGTTCTGGCTGACCCCCTCAGGGAAGACGACCCTCTCGAGTCGGCGGCGCCTCCCCGCGGAAGGAGGAGGAGGAGGTGAAGGAGCGGGATTAGGGCGAGGAGGGGGGGAGGGAGGTGCATTAGGCGGAGGAAGGGTGGCAGGAGGGGGGAGGCGAACAACGTGGAGGAAGAGGAGGATGAAGAGGAGGAGGAGGAGGAGGAGGACCAGTGTGGATGTTGTAATAGATCTGTCCTCCTCCCTCTTCATAGGCCCATACAAAGATTCATTCTCACTGAGGGAAGCGCCCCATTGGGAGACAACCGTTTGAAGATTCTGAACATGCCAAAACAGCCTTCTCGGAACTTCTTCAACGCCACGACTTAACCTGACTGTTGCGTCTTGACGATCCTGGGTCACGCCGGAGCACCATTCCTGGGATTTCACCACCGCGAATCAACGTACATGTTGCGCCCTGACCCCAAAAAACATTTCGAGGTACGACAGCCATGGGAATCCGTGAATATCTTGCAAGAAGTTTAAAACGAACATGTGCGGCGCTGAAACGAGAACCGAATTGTGCAGAACGCCCGCCCTCGATCCGCGAAATCCTTGTAGACACTTAGAAATGTGCAGCGCGCTACAGCGAGAACCACATGTTGAAAACTACCCGCCCTCGATCCGTGCAACTCTGGAAACGTGTGAAAAACGAATTCGGGCGGCGCTGAGGAGATAGCGACAGCTTGAAAACCACACGCCCTCAGTCCGTGAAACTCTTGATTGTGTTAGCAAGTGTGCGCGACGCGAAGGCGAGAACCACATTTTGAAAACGACCCGCCCGCAATCCGTGAAACTCTTGACATTGTTTACAACGAGTGTGCACGGCGCTTAGGCGAGAACCACATTTTGAAAACCGCCCGTCGTCCATCCGTGCACTGTGGCCAACATTTGCACTTCAAGATCAAACATCAGAAATGCTGAGGACGTCTCAGGCGAAACGCCTGGCCCTTCCTCCCTGACACAGGGAGGAGGTATCTATACGGAAAAGGAGTGGAGGAGGAGGATAGGGAAGGGGAGAAGGATGGAGAAGAGGAGAATAGGGAAGCGGAGGAGGGCCTGGGGGAAAAGCGAGATGCGAAGATTCCTGCTTACACTGGGAACGAGGGTAACCCTGGCCACCTGAGGACGAGAGCCGAAGTCAACGCCGTACAACGTCACACCTCTGGAACGACAAAACTTTAGCCACGTGAGGCGGCAAACGGAAGGAGGGAGTTGACGGGGGGCAAGAGCTCGAGGAGGAGGGGAAGGAAGGGAAGAGGAAGGAAGACGAGAAGGAACTGAAGGAGGAGGAGGAGGAGGAGGGGGAGGAGGAGGGGGAGGGGGAGAAGGAGGGGGGGGGGAAGGAGAGGGGCGGGGGGAGGAGGGAGAGGAGCTTGACGAGGGACAGGAGTTGGAGGACGGGCAGGAGCTGGGGGAGGAGAAAGACGTCCCCACGCAGACAACCGCCCACAGGGGCGGCCGGGCTGGCGCGCCCCCACAGCACGGCCAAGCTCATGCCGCTGCCCGCGGACTGGGCGCGCAAGCGCGCGACGCCGTTGCCGCTGTCGCCCTCGCCGCCGCCGCCTCCTCTGCGCCCTCCTTTGTCTTTTCCTCCGCCTCCTCCTCCTCCTGCTCCCCCTCCTTCTCCTCCTCCTCCTCCTCCTCCTCCTCCTCCTCCTCCTCCTCCTCCTCCTCCTCCTCCTCCTCCTCCTCCCGTCCTCCCCCTCCTCCTCCTCCCCGTCCTCCCCCTCCTCTTCCTCCTCTCCTCCTCCTCATCATCATCCTCCTCCTCCTCCTCCTCCTCCTCCTCCTCATCCTCCTCCCCCTCCTCCTCACATGCCATTTTGGCTGTGGCAGTTCGCGAACAGACAACTACAGCACACTCCTTTCAACGTAGCCTGCCAGCCCTTCGGCGTCCATCCGAGATGTTGCGATCTGGCGAAGAAGCCCGTTCGCAGCTCTGTCGCCAGCTTGATGCGATCACCGCGGCAGCTGTCGCCCAGGCCCACCAACTAGTCATGAACGATTCTGTACTGCTGTACATAGACAAGCGCGTTCCACTACTCGCAGAGTCACTACTCGCAAATGGCCTGGATCCGCCGCGAGGGATCTACGATACACTACATCAAAGCGGACATCTGATTTTGGGACGTTTGCGAGTAGGCACTTTGCGAGTAGTGGAACGCGCTCGGCGAGTACATCCACATCCCTGGGTCCCCGGATGAGTGACTACCTACCAGACCACCCCAACCCAACCCGAAGACCCGAACTTCGGGTTGGGGGGGGTGAGGGTTCCACACGTGTTTTTGTCGATGTTTCCCGACCCCCCCCCACTGGAAATCGAGGGTAAATCTGAGCCTTCGGGTTGGGTTGGGGTGGTTTGGTGGGTGGTGAATGAGACATCCCCCGGACTTCGCTCGCCGGACGTGCTCCGGCAACGACTCGGCGCTGGCCATCGATCGGCCCCGCGGCGCGGCCTTCGCTGCCCGGGGGCGGCGCGCTCCGGGCACGCTCCCGGGGGCCCGCAGCGGAGCCCGGGGCAGCGCGCCCCCCCGCTGCTGACGGCCCAGCGCCTCCTCCGTGGAGGGCTCCCGTACCAAGGCAAGGTAGATGGGGCCTTTGTGGGCCTGGAAACGGCAGGGCCATTTTTTCACCGTTTCCAAAAAAATGTCCCTCGAACATGGAAGCGGCAAAAAAACGGCGACCGGAAACGGCAAAAAACTGCTGGATTGGAACCGGATCCGGAACCGGTCAAAAAACGGCGACGGAAACGGTAAAAGAACGGCGTCGGAACCGGCAACAAAAACGGCAAAGCGGAACCGGTAACAAAACGGCCCTGTCGTTTCCAGGGCCCCCTAAGGATGGGGCCGGGGGACCGCGCCGCATCGCCAATGCATCGGCGACGCATCGGCAACGCATCGGCGACGCACCGACGACGTCGGCGCAGAGAAAATCGGGCGCCGCATCGCGCCGCACCGCCGATGCCTTCGGGGCGGCGGCGCGATCCTCCGACCGCAGCTACTCCGAGCCCATCTGGGAGGCCCGGATCCTCGGCCCCCCGCAGCCAGCGCGCCCCCTCTGCCCCGACCATCTGATCTGTTTCTGGCTCGGCACGGCACCGGCGCGGTGCCCCCCCTCCCGCCGCCCTGCCCTCTCCCCCCCCCCCCCCCCCCGAAGCCAGCCTTGCTGCCCCAACCCTGCCCACCGCAGCCATCCCGGCAATGTATTCCGGCACTGAGCCACACGGCACCGGCACGGCGTTCCCCCCACCCCCCAGCAGACAGCCTTGGACCGGGTCGAGCATGGCAAACGCGACAACCCCGAAATCTCCAAAACATGTTGCCGCGCAGTCCGGAGAATCTCCGATCTCCAAAAAAAAACATCCGCTGAATATCCAGAGCATCGTTATGTCTCGAGCATCTTCCGGCGAATCTCCCGAGCATCTTCGCGCCTCAAAAATCTTGTGGCAAATCACCACACATCCTCGCATAACCAAAACGCTCACAAAATCTTCCCCAGCGATGTCCCAAAAGTTGCCCGGATAAATTGCCAAGATTGTCTGGACATTTCTGCACCACGGAAAATTTCCTGAGATTTCCATGGGCATTCGGGAAGCTCAGAGATATTCTGGAGAACCCCCTTGAGATTTTAGAACCAAGAAATTTCCTACAAATTAGGGAATTTCCACAGACATATCCTGCAAATTTCTCACCCAGAGGAACCCGGTCGCGTTTGCCACGTTGACCAGCCCAACTCCCCTTCCTCGCCAGCCACAGACAGCCACTTCATTCCAGCACGGCACGGCACTGCAACAGCACTGCAACAGCACCGCACCCCTTCCCCCCCCCTTCCCCGCGCAGCCAGCCCAGGTCCCCATCCTCTTCGCCCCCCGTAGCCAGCCCAGCTCCTCCTCGCCCCCCAATCCAACTCGCCCCCTCCGCCCCGACCAGCTTATTCCAGCACGGCACGGCACCGCGCCCCCCCTTTCCCCCCTTCCCCCGCAGCCAGCGCGCCCCCTCCAGCGCGCCCCCCAGCCAGCGCGCCCCCTCCGCCCCCCAGCCAGCGCGCCCCCCAGCCAGCGCGCCCACCTCTCCTCTTCGCCCCCCAGCCAGCGCGCCCCCTCCGCCCCGGCACGGCACGGCACTGGCACCGGCACAACGCATTCCCACGCCCCGCAGCCAGCCCGCCTCCTCCTCTGGGGAAACCAAAGGGTACCGACACCGCTACTCCCTGGACCTCTCCCGGGGTGCGTTCTGGCCAGGAGTTCGAGGCGAATCCAGCGGTGGCGACGAGGAACGCCCAGGAGGCCCAAAAAGGAGAAAACGGGCGGAGGGCAGAGGTATGGGTACCTTTTCCTTCTCTGATCCTCGCCCCCCGCAGCCAGCCCAGCTCCTCCGCCTCGACTACTTTACTTCCAGCACGGCAAGGCGCGGCACGGGCACGGCGCCGTCCTTCGTCTCCCCCTACCCGTCCACCTTCTCTCCGTCGCCCTTTCTTCCCTCTCGCTTGGCCCTTCGTGATCCTCCCCCTCTTTCTCGTCTGTCTCCTTTCCTCGTCCTCCCTCTCCTCTCCTCCTCTGGTGCTGTTCCCTTCCCCCCCGTCCTCCTAAGGGCAAGAGCCATGGTACGCGCGCCACTTGTTCTCTTATAGTTGTTCAATGAATTCAGCGATGTCGCCGGTTCAGCCTTCCGACGCTCCAGGACGGCCAAGGAGGCATACAAGGTCGCCGCAAGACAGCCCAAGAGGTTCCCAGTAGAGCCCCAAAAGGCCCAAGAGGCCCCCAGGAGGGCCCAAGAGGGCCCCCAAAGAAGACCCCAGGAGTCCGAGCCCGTCCCCGAAAGGTAGCCTCCGAGACTGCCAGAAAGCCCACGCGAGGCCTCCAGAGGTCCCCAAGACCCCCTCCCAAAGGCACCAACTAAAAAAGGCCCAAGAGGCCCGCCGACCTCTCCTTCCGAAAGGTGCCAGGATGGCTAAAACGTACAGCTCTTCCCTCTCCTTGTTGCCCTCCCTCCCTGGTCGCCCGGTGCTTCTCGCAGGCCTCAGACTTGAACCAAGAACCTAGGGATGATGACGCTGATGTTGCCCATGGTGCGAAGGTGGTTTAGAGCGTTTACTCTTCCATCTTCCCTGTTCCACTTCGGGAAGGGGTTGATCACTGTTTCCTATTGATGAACACCCCCTTCCCATACGAATGGCAACCAACTCATCCATATACGATACAATATCCGCCGATCCAGCGTGTGAGTTTCTGAGAGCGTGGACTTGAGCTCGCTCAAGCTTCGCTCTGCAAAGGATGGGGGGGACGCCATTCCCGACGCCATTCAGTGTTCGGGAGCCGGAGGGGGGGGTTCGCTCTGCAAGGGGGGGGCGCCATTCCTGGCGCCACGCAGTGCTCGGGAGCCGAGGGAGCGGGGGGGGAGGGTTCGCTCTGCAAGGGGGGGGGGGGGCCCTTCCAGGCGCCATGCAGTGCTCGGGGGCGGGGGGGCTTCGCTTCCGACGGTCCCCCAAACTCCCGGGACCGCGTCAAAACGGCTTGAAAGGCTCCCAAGACGACCCCAAAACGGCGCAAGAGAACGCCAAGACGGCCCAAGAAGCGCCCAAGCCAGCCCAAGAGGGCTCCACCAGTGCCCCAGGAGGCCCAAGACGGAGAGCCCGAACTGAAAATCAAAGTCTTTCCTTTCACGACGTTCGCTTGAAGATCCAAGACGCCCCCAGGAGGCCCCAACAGGCACAGGCCCCAAAAAGCCAGCGAGAGAATCCAGAACGCCCCGAAGAGTTCCGAAACAAGGCCGAAGAAGCCCCAAAACGAGCCCCAAGACGCTTCCCGAAGTCCCTTGCTCAATCCCCTGAGCCTCAGCCCTCAAGCCGGTGGATCCTTCCTGGGCTCGGACCCCAAACTCTCGAATATCTAATGAGGATGTCTTGAACGAGGGCTGTATCTTCAGCATACACGGTCACCCATTCCAATCAGCATCGGAAGCGCCCAGGATCGGCAGCACTGGCTGGAGGACACTACAATAGTGTAGTAGTAATAGTACAAGTAAAAGTAGTAGCGGTGGATGTAGCAGTATTAGAACTAATCGTAGTAGTAGTAGTAGTCGTAGTAGTAGTAGTAGTAGTAGTAGTAGTAGTAGTAGTAGTAGTAGTAGTAGTAGTAGTAGTAGTAGTAGTAGTAGTAGTAGTAGTAGTAGCGTAGTAGTAGTAGTAGTAGTAGTAGTAGTAGTAGTAGTAGTAGTAGTAGTAGTAGTAGTAGCAGTAGTAGTAGTAGTAGTAGTAGTAGTAGTAGTAGTAGTAGTAGTAGTAGTAGTAGTAGTAGTAGTAGTAGTAGTAGTAGTAGTAGTAGTACGTAGTAGTAGTAGTAGTAGTAGTAGTAGTAGTAGTAGTAGTAGTAGTAGTAGTAGCAGTAGTAGTAGTAGTAGTAGTAGTAGTAGTAGTAGTAGTAGTAGTAGTAGTAGTAGTAGTAGTAGTAGTAGTAGTAGTAGTAGTAGTAGTAGTATAGTAGTAGTAGTAGTAGTAGTAGTAGTGAAGCAG